AATATCCACGAGATTTTGTAGGGGTTAGAGTTACAAGGAAAATATTGCATGAAAAGAAAGCAAACGGACAGGGAAGAAACCAAAAGATAAAGGCGAAATCCCTCTATTGAAGCGAAGAACCCTATAGACAATCATCAAAGCAACACCCATTATCTAAATATACATATACATATACATATGTATATGATATCTTCTTTCGCTTTTTCTCTTCTTTCTTGGCTCAACGAGATAGAGAGATTCTGGTCTTGAATCTTGATGGGTCAAAGATGGACACTCTAAAAAGGAAAGGTCAAAGAACTAATAATACTCCCCATAAAAAACGATCTTGAACTAGAGAAAAGAAAAAGTTATTGGGCCCACCCATAAAAATCATCATACCAAATACCACATGTAAATTTTCCCAACTCTTCCATTTTTTTTTATGCTATTATATGATCAAAAGTACATGTGCAATGACGTATAAAAAACATCGGAACAGTTTCCATTTTATAAACAACACAATTGTTCTCGAGGTAAATTTATAACTTTCGGATGATTTCTTTGTCGCAAATTCGCAATAATCGTGTTTTGATCATTTTTTATATTAATTTTCCCAATTAATGCCCTTAACAAGGATGTCAGCAAATATATATTCCTGAATCTCCGAGTGTTTTGGGTCATTATCACCGGAAAGAGAAGAAGTATACTGATATTTGTTTTTTTTTTGTTGAATTATACTGATATTTGTTCGCTATGAAGTTGCGATACATGCAGCGCAGGTACATGAGAAATTCGATTATAAAAAAAAAATCGTTACGTATTTTTTATATAATTGTGGGAGGGGATGATTCTTTGATAGTGTTAGGAGATTTTTTTTTTGTTAATACCACACCAAAGTGTTACAAAAGACTGAAGAATAATAAAATTAAAGAAGCGAGAATCAGATCGTCTTGAGATTGCCGAACCACCAAGTTCGACTAACCGGACGACGACCACTTTCCAAAAGATGCTGTCTCTGTTAAATTATAGTAACATATATATATATATATGTAATACCATATGTATTATTGAGTGTATTAATACATAACATATAGTATTTTAACAAAAAAAAAAACTTATAGTATTATTTAGTGCTTCGTTAAACACGAAACATAAACAGCTGCGATTAGTCCGAGACCTACATGCAGCTGCTAAGCTGTCCCCTCACGCGACCCGAGCACCCGTGACCCTTACGCTCATCTTCAACGCCTGCGCGTATCTACAACGCGCCGGATAAGCGCGTGTTTTCTATTACCTACAATTAAATGGTAACGTACCAAGATGTTCCTTCTTTTTTCTTCGTTTTTTTTTTAAATTGTACTCTACGATCTGCTTTATAAGGAGAACTGATTACTGCTACAGTCTTCAAATTGGAATGCAATGAAGATTTTCCCAAACAAAAACTGTTCAAGTTCAGCAAGTTTGCAGATGACTTTTTGTAATGATAATAACTGTTTGGGTTTATAAATATAAATAAAAACACTGTCAAACAGATTTATCGTATGTGTTTATAAAAATATAAACAATTTGTCTATTTGGGTAGTTTTAACATAAACAATGTGATTTATATTGCAATTCGACAATTTCTTTAATAAAACAGACCAAAAAATGAAAAGATTGGAAATGATCATTTGGGTGGTTTTCGTGGAACGGAACGGCTGTAAGTTATAACCCCAAAAAAAGGCATCCTAGTTTGAATACGCGAGCAAGAAAACTACACGGTGTTTGATGGTGATGCAAATGATGATGATGTTGGCTCGTTGGATTCGGTGGGGCCCAACGCTTCGCGAGTTCCGAGGAAAAAGGAAGAGAGATCGGATTTTTGACGAATAGATTAATCATTAACCCGTTTGTCGCTAATCAGGGTGCCACGTGGATACAGCAGGGCGAGTTAATTCTCCGCATGCATGGATGCAACGCAAATGCATGAGGAAAAAAAATGGTAAGTAGGTTATTAGATTGATTTAATGGTACATTAAATTTTATATTCGCTTAGTAAATAATACAATAAATTGCTTGTTGGTTTAGGAATCGTGTTGGATACATCAATAAACAATGAGACATTCCTCAAAAGTTACAAAACACAACTGGAATGTCCCTCCCCTTTTGAAGGATTTAAGCTTTCTCTTTTTTATTCTTTTTGTATGGTTTGCGGTCGCATGTGTTTTTAATTAATGGATAAGATATGAAAATTGTCTCGATTCATATATAGTGTCGTGTCGTAGAACGTAAAGTCTCACGCTAAACAATCATGGCGACGATAGGTCGAGAATCGAAACCCCATGAGTATCTAATTCTGTCGTGTTGTTTTTAACAAGGGCATGGAAGGAAGTTAGGGCTATAATGAGAAGAATATCCACGAGATTTTGTAGGGGTTAGAGTTACAAGGAAAATATTGCATGAAAAGAAAGCAAACGGACAGGGAAGAAACCAAAAGATAAAGGCGAAATCCCTCTATTGAAGCGAAGAACCCTATAGACAATCATCAAAGCAACACCCATTATCTAAATATACATATACATATACATATGTATATGATATCTTCTTTCGCTTTTTCTCTTCTTTCTTGGCTCAACGAGATAGAGAGATTCTGGTCTTGAATCTTGATGGGTCAAAGATGGACACTCTAAAAAGGAAAGGTCAAAGAACTAATAATACTCCCCATAAAAAACGATCTTGAACTAGAGAAAAGAAAAAGTTATTGGGCCCACCCATAAAAATCATCATACCAAATACCACATGTAAATTTTCCCAACTCTTCCATTTTTTTTTATGCTATTATATGATCAAAAGTACATGTGCAATGACGTATAAAAAACATCGGAACAGTTTCCATTTTATAAACAACACAATTGTTCTCGAGGTAAATTTATAACTTTCGGATGATTTCTTTGTCGCAAATTCGCAATAATCGTGTTTTGATCATTTTTTATATTAATTTTCCCAATTAATGCCCTTAACAAGGATGTCAGCAAATATATATTCCTGAATCTCCGAGTGTTTTGGGTCATTATCACCGGAAAGAGAAGAAGTATACTGATATTTGTTTTTTTTTTGTTGAATTATACTGATATTTGTTCGCTATGAAGTTGCGATACATGCAGCGCAGGTACATGAGAAATTCGATTATAAAAAAAAAATCGTTACGTATTTTTTATATAATTGTGGGAGGGGATGATTCTTTGATAGTGTTAGGAGATTTTTTTTTTGTTAATACCACACCAAAGTGTTACAAAAGACTGAAGAATAATAAAATTAAAGAAGCGAGAATCAGATCGTCTTGAGATTGCCGAACCACCAAGTTCGACTAACCGGACGACGACCACTTTCCAAAAGATGCTGTCTCTGTTAAATTATAGTAACATATATATATATATATGTAATACCATATGTATTATTGAGTGTATTAATACATAACATATAGTATTTTAACAAAAAAAAAAACTTATAGTATTATTTAGTGCTTCGTTAAACACGAAACATAAACAGCTGCGATTAGTCCGAGACCTACATGCAGCTGCTAAGCTGTCCCCTCACGCGACCCGAGCACCCGTGACCCTTACGCTCATCTTCAACGCCTGCGCGTATCTACAACGCGCCGGATAAGCGCGTGTTTTCTATTACCTACAATTAAATGGTAACGTACCAAGATGTTCCTTCTTTTTTCTTCGTTTTTTTTTTAAATTGTACTCTACGATCTGCTTTATAAGGAGAACTGATTACTGCTACAGTCTTCAAATTGGAATGCAATGAAGATTTTCCCAAACAAAAACTGTTCAAGTTCAGCAAGTTTGCAGATGACTTTTTGTAATGATAATAACTGTTTGGGTTTATAAATATAAATAAAAACACTGTCAAACAGATTTATCGTATGTGTTTATAAAAATATAAACAATTTGTCTATTTGGGTAGTTTTAACATAAACAATGTGATTTATATTGCAATTCGACAATTTCTTTAATAAAACAGACCAAAAAATGAAAAGATTGGAAATGATCATTTGGGTGGTTTTCGTGGAACGGAACGGCTGTAAGTTATAACCCCAAAAAAAGGCATCCTAGTTTGAATACGCGAGCAAGAAAACTACACGGTGTTTGATGGTGATGCAAATGATGATGATGTTGGCTCGTTGGATTCGGTGGGGCCCAACGCTTCGCGAGTTCCGAGGAAAAAGGAAGAGAGATCGGATTTTTGACGAATAGATTAATCATTAACCCGTTTGTCGCTAATCAGGGTGCCACGTGGATACAGCAGGGCGAGTTAATTCTCCGCATGCATGGATGCAACGCAAATGCATGAGGAAAAAAAATGGTAAGTAGGTTATTAGATTGATTTAATGGTACATTAAATTTTATATTCGCTTAGTAAATAATACAATAAATTGCTTGTTGGTTTAGGAATCGTGTTGGATACATCAATAAACAATGAGACATTCCTCAAAAGTTACAAAACACAACTGGAATGTCCCTCCCCTTTTGAAGGATTTAAGCTTTCTCTTTTTTATTCTTTTTGTATGGTTTGCGGTCGAACGAAAGCATCATATATATATATATATATGTGTGTGTGTATATATATATGCATACATGTTCTTTGTGTATGATAAATTAATTTATATATGGAATCTCAAAATACTCCCGGATATGGATAGTTGTAAAAAATTGTATCTATCATGTGACTACCTAATACCTATATATATCTTGGTTTCCATAGATGATCCGAACATATGAAATGTAAATATTTAGATGCATTTAGCCCCCAAAATTTATAGGTTTAGTATTAAAGTAATTAGTATTTGAGTTTTTTTTCTCTAGAAAAGTCTTTAAAATTATGAGAAATTAAAACGTGGAGGCTAGCTTTTTCTACCATAAGAGAGACCCGTGAATGAACAAATGTGGTTGGGACATTATAGCCCATGTGGTTAATTATATCGAATGAATGATTAAATTAAATATTAATAGGAAGTGTGGTGAGTACAAATTAGCAGCTGTCATACGGAAGACCGGTTAACCCTGTCTGTCTTCTCATGTTGTCCCCTCTAAAAGTGTCTCTTCCCATTCCTCAGAGACAATATGAATCCATCCACCGCCCCCTTTTTCGAAAATGAAATAAATAAATATATATATATATCAAAGATATAACTCTAGAACATCAAATATTTTTAAGATAACCCCCTAATTATTCTACTGATTCGTTATTAATGTATCTTATGGTGATAACCGAGCATTTACATGCCTTTATTCATTGGTCACATCGTGAAGAACCAACTTTAAAATGTTGGTGGGGTAATATCAATATCTTCTGAAAAGAGGAATGAAGTCTGGGAATGTATTTGGGAGTGGTCCAATGTTTGCGAAAAGGGCAAAAGTGGAAAAAGAAAAATATTCGACCAACCCCAAGATTGGGAGTGGTTTCATCCTCAAAAGGGTTTAGGTCCATAGTGCTCTTTGCTTGACCACTTCTCGTTGGGCACAATTATACATTGGGTTTGTTGTGCCACCTTTACCAAACAAGTTCCTCTTTTTTTTTTTAATTTCCATTTTCCCAATTCGTTACTTCTCTATTCCACTTTGAATCTTCCATCACCTATGTATATGTTCTTTTGTATTCGACACATTTTCATACTTTTTTCTTGTTTTATAGTCTAACATTCTGAATATATGTATGTATATATGTGAATATAAATTAAAGCGCAAATGAGAATCAGGATAAGACATAACAAAGTTGAGAGGGAGGGGGACCAAGGCCAGGTATGGTATTGGAAATGCAAGGGAAAGGAGGTGGAATGATTAAGGGCACGTTGCGAATGATGGATCCTGCATCTGCTGCTGGTCCACGTTTTCGCATTTCGACCACCACCGGAATTTTGTCAGCCAGCCCCATCGAATTCTGCTTTGACCCTTTCTCCACCCACCTCCTCTCTCTCTCTCTACCTAGTAGCACTAGCGACCACCCCCCACGTCCATTTCCATCTGCTGCTTCGCCACTTTATGTTTACAAACATCAACATCTTGCCGTTTCTATTTCATCTTAACAGCAAGTAGTTCCGATGCCCCGCTTAGCATCTGTCTCACCCCCCATCTACACTCTCAACCTCGGGCCTCGGGCCCAGTAGTTTGCTTCTAGGTAGAATAGTCATGGACGAAATACTACATATGCAAAGCCATAATTTGTCTGCATGGGATGATCAGTAAATGAATCTATCCATTCATTTGAATTGTACAATTGACACTAACAAACTGATTCATATGGACCAATCACTTATAGTCGTCCGATGATGGGGGAACAAACACAAATTACCTAAATTTGAATCTTATCTTAGAAAGTGTGACATTTGAAGGGTGAGCATGAGAAAAAGGGGGCTTCTTTACTAAAGCACGTCCTTGATGAATTCTTCCGTGAGTGTTTTAGGAAGTCCCATCACTGTATCAGCCGCCCCCACCTATACAAGCATCCCCATACCCATGAATCCTCAGTTAGACTTTCCTCGATACATTTTCACAAAGCTGCAGTTTGATTTTGATGGACTGAGCTGTGCAATCTGGTAGATGTGTTAAACAAATGAAAAACTCGGGTTTTCTCGAGCAGAGAGGCACTAACCACGGTCTCCACAAATGGCAAAGTGAGGGGATGCTCAAGCATTAAACCTCCGGCTACGTTGAGTGTTATGCCCTCCTCAATCTTGGAACAAAGATGAATACAGACAGATGTTAAACAAACATATTCAAGACAATTATATCAAGAAGAATCACTGTTGGGTCAGTGTAGAGTGTTTAACCAGGTCATCGATGACTTTATCCGGTATCTCATGGAAATAGACCTGCACAACAATGCAGCAGAAAGTCGAGGGAAACAAGATTCTTATCGCTACCATAGGAAGAACAAGAACAGATTTGAGAGACAATGAGACAACTGGTTCCTCACTTTCAGAATCTCTAAAAGCTGTTATTTTAGGATCAAAGGTAATTTTTTTGAGAGAACATAAGAGACAATAATACCTCTGCTTTGTCCCATCCGCCTTTTCTTACTCCGGTTTTCAAGTTGGTTACGAGTACAGATCCCACAACAGATCCATGTGACCCAGAATAGCCTGGACATTTCAAAGACTGTGATTATCAACAGCTAAAACGGCACTGACTATAAGAGACAGGGTTGCGAAAGTGGCAATGACCGACCTTTAATAAATTCACGAGCTTCTTCCTTACTGGATGGTTTTTCTCTGATGACTCCTTTGTAGACAACCACCTTGGATTGGAATCAAGAGACAAATCACATACAGAATCCGCTTGTCAGGAAATGCATTCGTAACATAAAACTCGTAGAGTCGATGCCTTAAGCTTACTGTGTCTGCTGTGATCAACAGCGTTGGCTGAGTATCCTGCAAGAACTTGCTTATGTCCCCAAATCTTTTTGTAATTGCATCTGCCTAGCAAAGACATTCATTTGTGATTCAAAAAAAATACCCATTACACAGTAGAACTTATTGAAGGCTGGACAACACAAAAGCATAGAAATCCAATTTTAACAGAAGCAACCCGTTACCTTAGCCTCTGCAAGAGCCATGACTAAATCTTCTGGCTTCTCCTTCCTAATACTTTTTTCATCAATGTCTGCCGTCTTCAGCCATAAAACCCAACACAAATGTTCATTATTAGTAGAAATCCTTCACAGACCAACATAATCAAAGCAATCAAACCCTAGCACAAGGAACCAAATTGATACCATGATACTGAAATCATATCCCATTTCAGCCAGAATTCGCTTTCTCGCCATGGACTGAGAGCCCAAAATCACCTTCAGGTACAAAATATTCGCATCTCAAGAGCATTTCCAAGGAAAATTTCTCAGCAAATCAAAGAAACTATACGAAGAACAGACAATCAAACCTTAAAGCCGCGTTGAATCGCCTTTGTCGCCATCTTGGTGTTGTGCTCTCCGACCAGTGAGCGAAAGAAGGAAGAAATTCACTGTAAGCGGACGTGAGCCTTCAAATCTTCCTACGGTTATACCACCCAATAACGAAACGACACGTAACCACATGCTAAAGGGGCTTGTAGTAAATTCCACAAAATATAGGGTTAAAAGTGAATTTTACAGAAAATTTATGGTAAGTGCCAAGTGCGAGAGCTCCGACACTCGGGTGAAACGTCAGCGCGAGAGTGTGAGTACGACAGGACAATGTGGCGCCGGAGGTTCAGTACGAGTATCGGAAGCAGCGACGTGTTTGGTACTTTGACGAAGAAGAAATGGGACGCGGTGGTGATTGGCGGAGGCCACAACGGCTTGACCGCCGCGGCTTACCTGGCTCGCGGCGGTTTCTCCGTCGCCGTTCTCGAGCGCCGACACGTCATCGGCGGAGCGGCGGTGACGGAGGAGCTCGTTCCTGGCTTCAGGTTTTCTCGCTGCAGCTATCTCCAGAGTCTTCTCCGCCCATCCGTCATCAGGTTTGAACTTACGCTTTCTCTGTTTGTTTTGATCGATTTTGATTTGTTCCTCTCCCAAGAAGGATTTATCGGACATCTGGATTTGGGATTTGAAAGAGAGTTAGAGTTAGGCAAACATGGACTGAAGCTGAGAAATCCTTCGTCGTTTACGCCTTGTTTGGATGGACGTTACCTTCTTCTGGGGCCTGATCAAGAGCTTAATCACTCTGAGATTTCAAAGTTCTCGAGACTTGATGCTGATGCTTATCCGAGGTGAAAGTTCAAATTGTTCTAGTTTTGTAATACAATCTACTTGGACATCTATGTTGCTTCTGTTTCTGTTCGAAAAATGCATCTATATTGTGGTTCCATTTACTTGGCATTTTGTTTGATTTTGTTGTGATTTGCAGATATGAGAAGCAGCTGGAGAGATTCTGCAGATTCATGGATCCTCTCTTGGATGTGCCTCCTCCAGAATCTTTGCATGGTGACTCATCGCTGAATGATAGGTTAAGCAACAAAATGTACAAATCAGCTTTCTGGGCTCGTTGCCTGCGGCAAGCAGCATCTTTGGGGCAGAAAGATATGGTGTATGATCTCTTATTTTTAACAATAATCTGAAATTTTCTGTTATTGAAACTGAGTTGGGTCAGGAATGGAGCATAAAATTTTGCTACTTTGATCACTTGATTGAGCATAGAGTCCAATTATATACGCCTATAATCAGTTATATGGATTTGCTATAATGCAATTTAACTTTTATATGTGAAGGGACTTCATGGATCTTTTGCTGTCCCCAGCTTCCAAGGTTTTGAACAACTGGTTTGAGGTCGTTTCCTGATCTTTGATTCCTATTGGTTGATTTTTCTGTTTTAATTATATTGTTGTTAGTACATGAACAAATAGCTGGAAATTCGTTGTACATGCTTTTATTTTGTTGTCCTTGGTCTCTATGCTTGCAGTCAGATGTGCTCAAGGCAACTCTCGCAACTGATGCTGTGATTGGATCTACGGTAATAGACCTATATGTTCATGGTTCGTTTGAGACTACACTGCATATGTAACACAGTTATGTATTACCCATCTTTAACTTTCAGGCCAGCGTTCATACTCCTGGAAGTGGATATGTCCTACTGCATCATGTGATGGGAGAAACGGATGGAGATCGAGGAATCTGGTCGTATGTATCTGGGATGTTGAACTGACAAATGTGAATGTACAAATTGGTTGGCAATCCTATTACTGTGTGTGTATCATTCTCTAGGTTATTGGTTAGAGCATATGCTTAATGAGATTAGATGTTCAAATGAAGATTACATTGACGACATTGCCATTTCTGTGTCGATAGGTATATGGTGAACTTCAAATGTAAAGCTTGGCTATCCTGAGTGCTTTATGTGGATTATTTTTGCAGCTATGTGGAGGGCGGGATGGGTTCAGTGTCCATGGCTATAGGCAATGCCGCTAGGGAAGCTGGGGCTGAAATTTTTACAAATGCATCGGTATCTTTCTTTCCGATCATTCTACTTGACCAATTTTGTACCTACATCACATAGAACAGAGTTTGGGACTCTAGTTTCTTCCCCTTTCGTACTCGAAAAGTGTAACCACTAAGTACATACCTATGTGTCTGCCAGGTTTCTAAAGTTCTGATAGAAGATTCTGGCAATGTGAAAGGGGTGGGTTTTCTTCTAAATATTTCTCTATGGAGTGAGAACCTGAATCAAAACTCATTGGACAATATGGGCATGGTTGACAAAAATCAGGTTTTGCTTGCTGATGGTACACGGGTGGATGCATCAGTTGTCTTGTCCAATGCTACTCCTTATAGAACTTTCATGGTATAAGGCTTTGAGCCCCAATGTATTCTTCAAAAGTAAAATCTTTATGTGTCTAATTCTTTGTTGATTTGTTTTTAGAGCAATTTTCTGCTTACTTTTCTTTCTCTATTTTTGTGTAACAGGAGCTGGTTCCTAACAATGCTCTCCCGAATGACTTTGTCCGGGCTATTAAGCATTCAGATTACAGCTCAGTAAGCACTTTGTGTGTTTTACCTTTTCATTCGCCCAAGCAATGAGAAATATTTAAGAGAAATCATATAGATTTTTCTTACTGTATCTAGCTAAAAGCATTTTAATATCAATTGTTTCTTTTATTGGACAGGCAACGACCAAAATAAACTTGGCAGTTGATAAAATTCCGCTGTTTCGGTGCTGCAATACAGATCACTCAGGACCAGGTCCAGAGCATTTTGGCACTATACACATCGGGGCAGAGAGGTATGTTTTTTTTCCTAAACCTTCATTTTTCAAGAAAATATTAATTGAATGCTGCTCTCTTATAACTTCGGTTCTCAGTATGGAAGAAATTCACTCAGCATGTCAAGATGCTGAAAACGGCATGCCATCCAGAAGGCCAGTGATCGAAATGACAATTCCATCTGCGCTGGACACGACCATTTCTCCCCCAGGTATGCAATATTGAGCCGATGGTTAGCCTCTATTATTTTGATACTAGTACAAGTTTTCACTGGATGAAGTAGATTATCATCACACGACCTAATTGGGAGAGAATCAAAGAGTATCTTCTCTTTCAAGTTTTATTTCATTTTCATGGAAGTGAAAAGCAAATTTCCGGTAGGCTCAGTTCTTTAGAAGAACATAGGTCTCCAAAACTCGGTCAATCCAGTCCGACGTCTGCTAACTCTTTAGGGAGTGATAAGGTTTGATTTTGAAAACACAATTCTGGGTGAAAGCATGAAAAATAATCTCGGTTTATCGATGTTACATCTCTAATCTCATCAGCATTAGTGAAATCAAGTCACCAAGTAACTAAGCCTCAACTACGTTCCACTTCTCTGTGTAGGAAAGCATGTCATTAACTTGTTCATCCAGTACACTCCCTACAAGCCATCAGATGGCAGCTGGGAAGATCCTACGTATAGAGTGAGTTCTCTTCTGCAATGTGATTCTTGATCCTCTCCATCATTTCTACCGTACTCCATGCCAGTCAATCCAGTCCGACGTCTGCTAACTCTTTAGGGGTTGGGTGTTTAATGTCTGAATAGGAAGCATTTGCTCAAAGGTGTTTCAAACTGATCGATGAGTATGCACCCGGATTTAGCACATCCATCATCGGCTACGACATGCTGACTCCTCCGGACCTCGAAAGGGAAATTGGTTTGACAGGTAAAAAATAATAACCTTGGAAATATATCTTAACCATGCCCAAATCCAAAGGCCAAAATTCCAGTTCAGATTTTGGTCCTGATGAAGAAGAATGGTAGGAGATGTATTGAAAGCACGCAGGAGGAAACATCTTTCACGGTGCCATGGGATTGGACAGCCTCTTCCTAATGCGACCGGTGAAAGGATGGTGTGATGCTTCTCTCTATTCAGATCACTATGAATAACATTATATACCATTTAGATCCTGATTGAATTTTGCCAATAAATTACAAATGTGGAAACAGGTCAAATTACGAGACCCCTCTAAAGGGGTTGTACTTGTGTGGAAGTGGGGCTCATCCCGGGGGTGGTGTTATGGGGGCGCCTGGGAGAAACGCTGCACATGTCGTTCTTCAAGACTTGAAGAAAATAATCCCCCAACAGTAATGCCTCTCTTGCGTAATGTTATATCGACCGTTGTATTTCTTTGCCCACATTTACGAGTTGTAACCCTCTGGGTGGTTCAGATACTCCCCTTTGAGAACCTCTGAACTATTCAGAAGCTCAACGGCATCCCTTAAGAAATTATCAAACCAATAATAAGATGCCACGTGTTACCCAATTGGATGCCCTAAACCAGCGAAAGGGGAAAGTTAAAAGCCAGCGAAAGCCGGAAAGGAAGGATCGGTCGAAACAATGCTTACTGTTTCTCAGCGAGACGACGATGGGGAAGACGACTTAGATCCGACCAAGATGCTCTTACTAGAAGAGAACGGAGTCAATGGCGGGAGTTCTTCCCCCGTGCGCGACGGAGCACCGGAGCATCAGCTGCACCAGCAGCACTACATCCGCTCGATCGAGTCAACGGTCGTGATTCGCCAGCTCCCGTCGCAGGGCCTCTCCTTCCAGCTATGGCCGGCGGCAACCACGCTCGTCACGCTGCTCGATAACCCCCGCCGTGACCCTAGCCAAAGCCCTCTCACCGAAACGCTCAAGGCGTTGTCCTCCAACGGCGCAGAATCTTCCACGTTGAACATCCTCGAGCTCGGATCTGGCACCGGAATCGTCGGAATCGCGGCGGCCGCCACGCTTTCTGCTGATGTCACGGTGACGGATCTCCCCCACGTCATCGAGAATCTCTCGTTCAATGCCGACGCTAACTCCGACATGGTGGCTAGATTCGGAGGGCGTGTCCATGTGGCGCCGCTGCGGTGGGGGGAGGCCGGTGACGTGGAGCTAATTGGCCGGAGATTTGACCTAATCCTTGCGTCGGACGTTGTATACCACGACCATCTTTACGATCCTCTGCTCGAAACGCTGCGTTTGTTGCTGCTGGGAAGCGAAAAGAGAATGTTGGTGATGGCTCACCTCAGGAGATGGAAGAAGGAGTCCGTCTTCTTCAAGAAAGCTCGGAAGCTCTTCGATGTCGACGTTATACACTCCGACGACCCTCTCGAGGGTTCCCGAATTGGCGTTGTAGTTTACCGGTTCGCCCGGAAACGCCGGAAACAGAACTCCGGTTTAGGAAAACACTTCCCCTGAGTTTTTTTTTTTTTGCAGTTTTTCCTCAGAATATGTCAAGTGTATGATGAAATCCACATGAAAACGATTGGTTCAATCTTGTTCAGTGGTTCAATCTTTGTGAAGATGCTTCATCAAATATATGTATGGGCTAAAAGATTCTTCTCGGCGGATTCAAGAAGGAAACTGAAACTGAAACTGAAGAGTGCAAGTATGTCCATAAATTGGCTTTAAAGCAGGAAACAACCAAAGCTGACACTTGTGTCCAATGACTCGCAATCTAAAGCCCTGATGACAACTTAGTAAACCAAGAGGAGAAAATGAAATCAGTAAAACCAGGAAGAACCGGCTCGCTTATATTAAACCGTAACCAGCTTGATGAATCAGAGGCTCTGAAACTCAGGAAGTAAACAGAGTAACGTCTTCTGGTGTGGAGATTTTGATAGATACCTTATATCTCTCGGCCAAGGTTTACCGTGTTTAACACGTGATGAGATTACCGGGCTGCTCTGTTTCCACGTAATCATCCCTGATCGAGACGGTGTCGATATTTGGGCTTAGAAATATCGTCACGTGTTAAACCTGGGACGAGGCATAGGGTATCCCCACAAGCCAACCAGAAGTCAGGATCCTCCGAAGCAGACCAATAAAAGAAGAGCACACCTCATCTCCCTCCTCCTTTTTATACTCTTGTCTGTCCCCGACTTCTGTCAACACGAACAGAAGGAGTTATCGCCATGGCAGCTTCTCTCCAAGCTACTGCAGCTTTCCTCTCCGCCGCTCCTTCCCGCTGCGTTCGTCTACGGTCGTCACCTTCTGTCGCCAAGGCCTTCGGCCTTGGATCTTCCTCTGCCCGTCTCACCTGCTCTCTCCACTCTGATCTCAGTGACTTCGCCAGAAAATGCTCTGACGCCGCCAAGATCGCCGGCTTCGCTCTCGCCACCTCTGCTCTCGTCGTCTCGGTACGGCATCTCGTTATACATATATATATTTGAAGCCCTTTGGTCATAATATCACAAGTAAAGCTGACAGATTCTCTGGAGCAGTTATAATTCTTCACTTTCACGTGTCATATACGTACTTGCATGTTCTAACGCCGCATGCATTTGATCTGAGATAGAAATGCGCTTTTTGTAGGGAGCGAATGCGGAGGGAGTGCCGAAGAGGCTGACGTTCGACGAGACGTGCATGGAGGTTAAGGGCATTACTACTACTGGAACTGCGAACGGCCACTCGGAGAAGTTCGGCTTCGAGCCGACAATGGCCGAGGGTGTTGTCAGCGACAAATTTATTTGGAGGGTTCCACCCGATCGAAGACGTAACCGAGAAGCACGTGGTGGATATAGCAAGGTTTGCGGTGGATGAGCACGACCGTACGAGCAAGTCCCGTCTCAAGTTCGAGAGAGTGATTAGCGGTGAGAGACAGGTGGTAGCAGGCATGAACTACAGGCTCGTCTTGGCTGCCAAAGACCCCGCCGCCTCCTCCACCAACAACTACGAGGCATTCGTTTTTGTACCGCTCGGGGGTGAACCCTGGTCCCTCAAGCACTTCAAACCTCTCTACCTGACTAACTGATCCCTCACTCGAAACCATTCGCGTATATAGTTCCCACTTTCCACATATAGTATTGGCATAATGAATAAAGGAGTGGCGGCTGGCTGCAATAATTGATTATCTATTCCGATGATCTTGTACATGTTTAATTAATAAAATATGATGACGTGGATTTCATGTACTTCTTCTGTTGATGTGTACTTTTATTGCGTTGCACAAGCTTATGTTCTAAGGAGAATGCTATTTGTCACGTTGGAGATTTCAGTGACGATGGAAGAAAATTCGCTCCTTTATTCAGACATTAACATGTGTATTTATACAAGTTTCATATCGTGACCTAGTATCTATGGGAAAAGGAAACTTAATATATGTTACAATAGTTTCCTTTTCATTAGATTCATCATATATGCTATTACCCCCCCTCAAGTTGGAGCATATAGATCATGGATGCCCAACTTGGATAAAAACGAATCAAATTCCTTGCGTCCAAGAGCCTTGGTGAAAATATCCGCGAGTTGTTGAGTCGTGGATACATGGCGAGTAATTATGGCGTTGGATGTAACATGTTGACGAAGGAAATGGCAAGCAACTTCAATGTGTTTCGTGCGATCGTGGAAGGAGTCATTTGCCGATATGTGGATGGCCGCTTGGCTATCACAGTGAAGAACCATAGGGTCGGAGTGAACAACACCAAGCGAAAGCAAGAGACCTCTTAGCCAAAGTAGTTCACATGTCGTGACCGCCATCGCTCGATACTCTGCCTCGGCGGAGGAGAGAGATACCGTTGGCTGCCGCTTGGATTTCTATGATATCGGTGATTTTCCTAGCTGAATAATCCATCCTGAAAGGGATTTTCGTGTCTTTTGGCAACCCGCCCAATCCGAATCGCACCAACCATACAAACGAAGATTCGAATCAGATCGTAGTAGTATCCCTTGTCCCGGACTTTGTTTGAGGTATCGGACCACCCGTAAAGCCGCATCCCAATGATCTTGTTGTGGTTGTTGCATAAACTGAGACAATGTGTGTACGGCATACGTGATGTCGGGGCGAGTGGCGAGTAGATAGAGTAAGCGCCCAACCAGTCGTCGGTATGGTTCTGGATCCGGCAGCAAATCACTTGTCGAAACGGAGAGGCGATGATTCTGATCCAGCGGAATGGAGACCGGTTTCGCACCCATAAGACCAGTTTCATCAAGAATGTCCAACACGTATTTACGTTGAGACAGAGAGAAACCTGCGGAACTTCGAGCTACTTCAATACCGAGAAAGTATTTTAACGTACCGAGGTCTTTCATGTGAAAGCAAGAGCTGAGGTATTCCTTAAAGCGATGCATAGCCGACGTTGAGCTTCCAGCAATTAGAAGATCATCAACGTACACTAAAACGTGTAAGTGAGTTTGATCCTTGTGAAAGACGAACAAAGAATGATCAGACTGGGTTTGCTCAAAACCATATCGACGAAGTGCGTATGTGAGCTTAGCGAACCAACACCGCGGAGCTTGGCGTAACCCGTACAAAGATTTCCGTAGACGACAAACTTGATTCGGCCGAGAAGGAGTGAAACCCGGGGGAAGTTTCATATAGACTTCATCATGAAGATCACCATGAAGGAAGGCGTTATGGACGTCCATTTGGTGAACGTCCCAGTTTCGAGCAGCCGCCACGGCAAGGTAGGTCCGAACAGTCACCATCTTGGCTACGGGAGCAAATGTCTCGTCGTAATCAATGCCCTCGGTCTGGTGATTGCCGAGGATAACGAGACGGGCCTTGTGTCTTTCAACCGTGCCATCAGCTCTGTACTTTGTTCGAAAGATCCACTTACAACCGATTGCTTTCTTGTGTGCGGGTAGTGTTTCAAGCGTCCAAGTCTGATTTGTTTCAAGTGCCGCAATTTCGGCCCGCATTGCCTCTCTCCAACGCTCATCATGTACAGCCGCCTTGTATGTCTTCGGGTCGTGATTATTCTCAACAGCCACAAGGAAAGCTTTGTGTGTCGGTGTTACAGCTGAGTAAGACAGAACACTGTCGATAGGATACAGAGGATTCGAGGAGGATGGCAGCTGAGCAGAAGACGACGAGACCTGAAGAGGTGATATTCGGATGGCATTGGTTACGAAATCCCTTAATCGCACATTGTGAAACCGTTGCCTATGTCCTCGACCGAGCTCATTCTCACCCGACTGATGATGCGATGCAATCAAGGACAAATCAACAGTATCATTCGTAGAATCCATGTCCAAATTGACTGAGTCAATAATCTCAGGGTTGGTTGAAACTGAGGCAGCATCAACAGGAGCACTCGAGGAGTCTGAATTATCAGAAGAAGCAGAATCAGGTGATGAAGGTAACAAGCCAGATGGAGATGACGAAGAAGCAGGGGCAACACGGAGAAGAGGCACAATTTCATCGTTATCAACTGGAAAAGATCCGGATATGGACAACGGAGATGTCGAGCAAGGCTTCAAAACAGAATCCTGATATGGGAATTTTGTTTCGCAGAACACCACATCACGCGAGACAAAAATACGTTTCGTCTCAAGGTTATACACTCTCCATCCTTTTTGCCCTGCGGGATATCCGATGAATAAACATCGAGAGCTTCGTGCAGCAAACTTGTCTCCTCCGCGATTTTGGTTGTGGACATAACAAAGACTACCAAAAACACGAAGGTGATCATATCTCGGGGGCTGTCCATGAATCATCTCGTATGGAGTTTTGCCGTCAAGAAGCCCCGACGGGGTACGGTTAATGAGATATCCCGCCGTTAGTATGCTTTCGCCCCAAAATTCAATCGGAAGTTGGGCTTGAAATAATAAGGAACGAGCCACATTCAAAATATGTCGGTGCTTTCGTTCGACGCGGCCATTTTGTTGAGGTGTGCCGACACAAGATGTTTCGTGTACGATTCCATGATCGGAAAAATATTCCCTCATACCGATGAACTCAGATCCATTGTCTGACCGTATAATCTTGACAAGAGTACTAAATTGTCGTTCAACCATGTTCACAAAATGTTGAAGCTTAACCGAGGCTTCGTTTTTGCCTCGCAAGAGATATATCCAAACGGCTCTAGAATAATCATCAACCACAGTCAGAAAGTACGTGGCACCCGAGAACGACGGAGTGCGATACGGTCCCCATATATCACAATGAATCAACTGAAAAATCTCTGAGCTATTATTAGTACTCAACGGAAAAGAATCTCGGGTTTGTTTGGCTCGCAAACATACATCGCAATGCTTAGTCTCAGAACAAACATTGTTCGAAAAACCCAAAACAGAAAGCTTGGAAAGAACTGTAGATGATGGATGACCCAAACGTTGATGCCATAAATCGGGAGATTGTCTATCTACCACCCGTGCTGCTGCAACTCTTGCCGCCCTACGGAAATAGTACAATCCCTCTTTTCGTTCACCCACTCCAATCAGAGTCTTGGTAGTGCGGTCCTGAAGCACACACAAATCACGAGCAAAGGTGACAATGTAGTCACAGTCATCCAAAAACTGGGAAACGGAGATCAAATTGCATTGTAGGCCGGGGACAAACAAGACATTGGATAACCGAAGTCGAGTACCAAGATAGACAGACCCGGATTGTTCAGACACAACCTGCCGAGCATCCGGTAATATCACAGAAAATGGCGAGACAGCAGTAACATCAAGCAAAGATGATAAATCTCTTGTCATGTGATGAGAGCAACCTGTATCAATAATCCAGGAGGTACAAGAAGTCATACCCGAAAGAGACTCCGAAGCTCCAACGTGGTTCGTAGTTAGAAGATTGATCAGTGTCTTCCACTGGTCGTCGGTGATTCCGCGAGGACTTTGCTTATCAGCAGAGGAAGATGTTGTCGGAGAGACTTGTGCAGACGGAGCAATGAAAGCAGCATTGGCTCTGGCAATCTGACCCACTGCTCGATCACCGTGATTTGTTCCAGGTTGCGATCTGCCTCTGCCCCGCGTTGTTCCCGTGCGGTTGCGTGGTCGATCTCCCCACCATTCGGGATAACCCACGAGCTGAAAACACACATCTGCGAGATGGCCTGTGCGATGATAGTTCGTGCAGAGAATCGACTTGTCGCTTTCAGCGGTTTGTGGACGTTGGCGAGGTCCAGTTTTGACCGAGAATGCGACAGCTTCAGGTTTGTCGATGTGGGATTGAGTAATCAGCTTTGATTCCTCGTCTTGAGTTACAGCATTGTAAGCTTCTTCAATGCTTGGAAGCGGTTGTCGGGACAAGAGATTCGAGCGGACGACCCCGTATCGAGAGTCATCTAAGCCGAGAAGAAACTCGTAAAGCCGATCCTCATTCCTTTCTTTTTCAAGGAGTGCCGCAATGTCACATGAGCAACGTCCACATTTGCAAGTTTTCAATGTCCGGAAGTTCGCAAGATCATCCCAGAGTTTAGTGAGTTTGCCGAAATACGCTTCAACCGTCATGCCAAGTTGGCGACAGTTTGCAAGTTCACTCCGAATACGGAGAAGACGAGGAGCATTAGTCTTCCCGAAACGACGTCTCAAGTAGTCCCACAAGTCGGTCGCATACTCTCGGTGAACCACATCGGATCGAAGATGAGATTCAAGAGTATTCTTGAGCCACGAAACGATGAGAGCATTGTTTGTGTCCCAATCCTCAAAATCTGTCGAAGTTGCATCAGGTTTCGATATCGAGCCATCCACAAAACCAAACTTCTTGCGAGATTTCAAAGCTTGGCGGATGTTGACGGCCCATTCGTCATAGTTGTCCCCTCGAAGTAGCGGCTGGGAAAGGATCAGCCCCGGATTGTCGCTCGGAGTAAGGTCATATGGGCTGATCGTGCGCCGAACAGGTAGGACAGGTTCGATGTGGCCAGTAGTGGCGTTCATTGTCGGGTTCGAAGGTTCAGATGTATTGGTGTGCTGGGTCGGTGTCGGATTCGAGTCAATGCCAGTAGACATTCGAGGAAAAAGGAAAAAATTAGATCGGTGTATATGATTTCAGGCTCTGATTACCATGTCACGTTGGAGATTTCAGTGACGATGGAAGAAAATTCGCTCCTTTATTCAGACATTAACATGTGTATTTATACAAGTTTCATATCGTGACCTAGTATCTATGAGAAAAGGAAACTTAATATATGTTACAATAGTTTCCTTTTCATTAGATTCATCATATATGCTATTACTATTCTCGAATCGCGATTACCAACACAGTCGGGATCAATGAATTTTGTTTATGAATATTAAACATTAAAAAAATATTTGTTGAGCCCAAGTTCCATTGCATATTTGTAATAAAAAAAGGCCCAAAGCATACATTAGATTAGATTAGACGTTGTCCCGAGCCGACAACTCTTTAGATACAGTATTGATCACGTGTCAAACATTTTATTTTGGTATTTTTTGCATTCTTTTTAGCCCCACTTTATCCGTCAAAATTAGTGGTGGTGGGTGTTTCCCGTTGGATTCTTCAAAATCAAACCGTAGAATAAAAAATTTCAATATTTTTTACCGAACATATTATTTATTAAAAATTCCAAACTTTATAAAATTTTCGAAAAATAAAAAATTTCTTAAAAAATATATTTGTTTAATAAAACCGAAACCGAACTTAATAAACCGTTCTCGAATATAACCATTAAAATTTCGAACCAAATATGGAAACCTTGACGGGTTAAAATGTCAGAAATTTTAGTGGTGAATATGTAATTAATTTTTTTTAGATTAAAAACATAAGCCAACAGACTCCGCCCCAAGATAATCTAATAAGATAATTTGGGCCCGCTTAAGATAAGCCTACAGACTATTCGGCCCAAATTTAAATCAAATTGACGCCGCCTAAAACCCTAGCCCTAGTTCCGATCTTCTATAAAAATGGCCGCCCTCATCTGGTTTCGCAGCTCTAAGTAAAACCCTAATCGGGGGCCTCAGGCGATGGTAATTCTCTTTGCGGTACGATGTATTTCTTCTAGCTACGTTTTTTTGGGGAAGTGAACTCTGGTCTCTTCCTCACTCCGGTTTGTTTTTTTTCAGTCGAATTCTCTGGAAGGGATGGATTTCCAACGTGTTTTGAGTTGCGTTTCCTTTCTTTTCTTTTTTTGTTGATACGTGTTTTTTCTCAAAGCTTTGAGCTCTAAAAAAAATGGTGAAAGGGTTTCTCTGTGATGATCAAACAAATAGATGACGAGTCCGATCAATCCATTCTAACAATCATGAGGACGAATCGAGGCATTTGTCTGAGGGGAACCTATCACTGTTGTCTTTTCTTAAAAATCATAACTTTTATTTTAGTATGCATGAAGTTTTGTGAGAAGGAAAAGTAAAGGGCATGGTGAGGATATGTTTATTGTCATCTGATTCACCTTGAGGAATCAAATAACCTCCTACTCATTCTGAATGCCTTTTTGTTTCTTCACAATCCTTATTTTACGAGTTTCATTGCTGCAACTTTGACCACGTTTTTAGGCCCTTGTAATCGGAATGACTAAGAAAGACGATTAACAACTCGAATGATTAAGTTTTGCTCGATGGACGAAAAATTAATGTGTAAATTTGGCCGTGAAGGCTTTGAAATAAAAAAATATATTGCAATTAACTCTCACAGTAAGGCCCATTAGCTCAGTTGGTTAGAGCGTCGCCGATCATTCTACTTGACCAATTTTGTACCTACATCACATAGAACAGAGTTTGGGACTCTAGTTTCTTCCCCTTTCGTACTCGGAAAGTGTAACCACTAAGTACATACCTATGTGTCTGCCAGGTTTCTGAAGTTCTGATAGAAGATTCTGGCAATGTGAAAGGGGTGGGTTTTCTTCTAAATATTTCTCTATGAAGTGAGAACCTGAATCAAAACTCATTGGACAATATGGGCATGGTTGACAAAAATCAGGTTTTGCTTGCTGATGGTACACGGGTGGATGCATCAGTTGTCTTGTCCAATGCTACTCCTTATAGAACTTTCATGGTATAAGGCTTTGAGCCCCAATGTATTCTTCAAAAGTAAAATCTTTATGTGTCTAATTCTTTGTTGATTTGTTTTTAGAGCAATTTTCTGCTTACTTTTCTTTCTCTATTTTTGTGTAACAGGAGCTGGTTCCTAACAATGCTCTCCCGAATGACTTTGTCCGGGCTATTAAGCATTCAGATTACAGCTCAGTAAGCACTTTGTGTGTTTTACCTTTTCATTCGCCCAAGCAATGAGAAATATTTAAGAGAAATCATATAGATTTTTCTTACTGTATCTAGCTAAAAGCATTTTAATATCAATTGTTTCTTTTATTGGACAGGCAACGACCAAAATAAACTTGGCAGTTGATAAAATTCCGCTGTTTCGGTGCTGCAATACAGATCACTCAGGACCAGGTCCAGAGCATTTTGGCACTATACACATCGGGGGAAAGAGATTTTCAGAGGTGGAATGATTAAGGGCACGTTGCGAATGATGGATCCTGCATCTGCTGCTGGTCCACGTTTTCGCATTTCGACCACCACCGGAATTTTGTCAGCCAGCCCCATCGAATTCTGCTTTGACCCTCTCTCCATCCACTTCCTCTCTCTCTCTACCTAGTAGCACTAGCGACCACCCCCCACGTCCATTTCCATCTGCTGCTTCGCCACTTTATGTTTACAAACATCAACATCTTGCCGTTTCTATTTCACCTAAACAGCAAGTAGTTCCGATGTCCCGCTTAGCATTTGTCTCACCCCCCATCTACACTCTCAACCTCGGGCCTCGGGCCCAGTAGTTTGCTTCTAGGTAGAATAGTCATGACTGATTTACCTCCGACGCGTGTGTTACAGGCTCGTGCGCATGGGTTTGGGGTTTGACCCGCATGCGCCTAAACCCAACTACGGCCCGAACGTTAGACGCGCCTGGTGGCCAGGTCCGGCAGACTGAGGTCCATGGGGACTGTTAGGCGCGGGTGATGGCCAGTTCAACTCCGTTTATAAGGGTAGGTAGTCACGGGGGTTCCCCAATGTATAAAAAAAAAAGCCATAATTTGTCTGCATGGGATGATCAGTAAATGAATCTATCCATTCATTTGAATTGTACAATTGACACTAACAAACTGATTCATATGGACCAATCACTTATAGTCGTCCGATGATGGGGGAACAAACACAAATTACCTAAATTTGAATCTTATCTTAGAAAGTGTGACATTTGAAGGGTGAGCATGAGAAAAAGGGGGCTTCTTTACTAAAGCACGTCCTTGATGAATTCTTCCGTGAGTGTTTTAGGAAGTCCCATCACTGTATCAGCCGCCCCCACCTATACAAGCATCCCCATACCCATGAATCCTCAGTTAGACTTTCCTCGATACATTTTCACAAAGGTGCAGTTTGATTTTGATGGACTGAGCTGTGCAATCTGGTAGATGTGTTAAACAAATGAAAAACTCGGGTTTTCTCGAGCAGAGAGGCACTAACCACGGTCTCCACAAATGGCAAAGTGAGGGGATGCTCAAGCATTAAACCTCCGGCTACGTTGAGTGTTATGCCCTCCTCAATCTTGGAACAAAGATGAATACAGACAGATGTTAAACAAACATATTCAAGACAATTATATCAAGAAGAATCACTGTTGGGTCAGTGTAGAGTGTTTAACCAGGTCATCGATGACTTTATCCGGTATCTCATGGAAATAGACCTGCACAACAATGCAGCAGAAAGTCGAGGGAAACAAGATTCTTATCGCTACCATAGGAAGAACAAGAACAGATTTGAGAGACAATGAGACAACTGGTTCCTCACTTTCAGAATCTCTAAAAGCTGTTATTTTAGGATCAAAGGTAATTTTTTTGAGAGAACATAAGAGACAATAATACCTCTGCTATGTCCTATCCGCCTTTTCTTACTCCGGTTTTCAAGTTGGTTACGAGTACAGATCCCACAACAGATCCATGTGACCCGGAATAGCCTGGACATTTCAAAGACTGTGATTATCAACAGCTAAAACGACACTGACTATAAGAGACAGGGTTGCGAAAGTGGCAATGACCGACCTTTAATAAATTCACGAGCTTCTTCCTTACTGGATGGTTTTTCTCTGATGACTCCTTTGTAGACAACCACCTTGGATTGGAATCAAGAGACAAATCACATACAGAATCCGCTTGTCAGGAAATGCATTCGTAACATAAAACTCGTAGAGTCGATGCCTTAAGCTTACTGTGTCTGCTGTGATCAACAGCGTTGGCTGAGTATCCTGCAAGAACTTGCTTATGTCCCCAAATCTTTTTGTAATTGCATCTGCCTAGCAAGGACATTCATTTGTGATTAAAAAAAAATACCCATTACACAGTAGAACATATTAAAGGCTGGAGAACACAAAAGCATACAAATCCAATTTTAACAGAAGCAACTCATCACCTTAGCCTCTGCAAGAGCCATGACTAAATCTTCTGGCTTCTCCCTCCTAATACTTTTTTCATCAATGTCTGCCGTCTTCAGCCATAAAACCCAACACAAAGGTTCATTATCAGTAGAAATCCTTCACAGACCAACATAATCAAAGCAATCAAAACCTAGCACAAGGAACCAAATTGATACCATGATACTGAAATCATATCCCATTTCAGCCAGAATTCGCTTTCTCGCCATGGACTGAGAGCCCAAAATCACCTTCAGGTACAAAATATTCGCATCTCAAGAGCATTTCCAAGGAAAATTTCTCAGCAAATCAAAGAAACTATACGAAGAACAGACAATCAAACCTTAAAGCCGCGTTGAATCGCCTTTGTCGCCATCGTGGTGTTGTGCTCTCAGACCAGTTAGCGAAAGAAGGAAGAAATTCACTGTAAGCGGACGCGAGCCTTCAAATCTTCCTACGGTTATACCACCCAATAACGAAACGACACGTAACCACATGCTAAAGGGGTTTGTAGTAAATTCCACAAAATATGGGGTTAAAAGCTAATTTTACAGAAAATTTATGGTAAGTGCCAAGTGCGAGAGCTCCGACACTCGGGTGAAACGTCAGCGCGAGAGTGTGAGTACGACAGGACAATGTGGCGTCGGAGGTTCAGTACGAGTAGCGGAAGCAGCGACGTGTTTGGTACTTTGACGAAGAAGAAATGGGACGCGGTGGTGATTGGCGGAGGCCACAACGGCTTGACCGCCGCGGCTTACCTGGCACGCGGAGGTCTCTCCGTCGCCGTTATCGAGCGCCGACACGTCATCGGCGGAGCGGCGGTGACGGAGGAGCTCGTTCCTGGCTTCAGGTTTTCTCGCTGCAGCTATCTCCAGAGTCTTCTCCGCCCCTCCGTCATCAGGTCTGAACTTACGCTTTCTCTGTTTGTTTTGATCGATTTTGATTTGTTCCTCTCCCAAGAAGGATTTATCGGACATTTGGATTTGGGATTTGAAAGAGAGTTAGAGTTAGGCAAGCATGGACTGAAGCTGTTGAAGAGAAATCCTTCGTCGTTTACGCCTTGTTTGGATGGACGTTACCTTCTTCTGGGGCCTGATCAAGAGCTTAATCACTCTGAGATTTCAAAGTTCTCGAGACTTGATGCTGATGCTTATCCGAGGTGAAAGTTCAAATTGTTCTAGTTTTGTAATACAATCTACTTGGACATCTATGTTGCTTCTGTTTCTGTTCGAAAAATGCATCTATATTGTGGTTCCATTTACTTGGCATTTTGTTTGATTTTGTTGTGATTTGCAGATATGAGAAGCAGCTGGAGAGATTATGCAGATTCATGGATCCTCTCTTGGATGTACCTCCTCCAGAATCTTTGCATGGTGACACATCGCTAAATGATAGGTTAAGCAACAAAATGTACAAATCAGCTTTCTGGGCTCGTTGTCTTCGGCAAGCAGCATCTTTGGGGCAGAAAGATATGGTGTATGATCTCTTATTTTTAACAATAATCTGAAATTTTCTGTTATTGAAACTGAGTTGGGTCAGGAATGGAGCATAAAATTTTGCTATTTTGCTCACTTGATTGAGCATAGAGTCCAATTATATACGCCTATAATCAGTTATATGGATTTGCTATAATGCAATTTAACTTTTATATGTGAAGGGACTTCATGGATCTTTTGCTGTCCCCAGCTTCCAAGGTTTTGAACAACTGGTTTGAGGTCGTTTCCTGATCTTTGATTCCTATTGGTTGATTTTTCTGTTTTAATTATATTGTTGTTAGTACATGAACAAATAGCTGGAAATTCGTTGTACATGCTTTTATTTTGTTGTCCTTGGTCTCTATGCTTGCAGTCAGATGTGCTCAAGGCAACTCTCGCAACTGATGCTGTGATTGGATCTACGGTAATAGACCTATATGTTCATGGTTCGTTTGAGACTACACTGCATATGTAACACAGTTATGTATTACCCATCTTTAACTTTCAGGCCAGCGTTCATACTCCTGGAAGTGGATATGTCCTACTGCATCATGTGATGGGAGAAACGGATGGAGATCGAGGAATCTGGTCGTATGTATCTGGGATGTTGAACTGACAAATGTGAATGTACAAATTGGTTGGCAATCCTATTACTGTGTGTGTATCATTCTCTAGGTTATTGGTTAGAGCATATGCTTAATGAGATTAGATGTTCAAATGAAGATTACATTGACGACATTGTCATTTCTGTGTCGATAGGTATATGGTGAACTTCAAATGTAAAGCTTGGCTATCCTGAGTGCTTTATGTGGATTATTTTTGCAGCTATGTTGAGGGCGGGATGGGTTCAGTGTCCATGGCTATAGGCAATGCCGCTAGGGAAGCTGGGGCTGAAATATTTACAAATGCATCGGTATCTTTCTTTCAGATCATTCTACTTGACCAATTTTGTACCTACATCACATAGAACTGAGTTTGGGACTCTAGTTTCTTCCCCTTTCGTACTCGGAAAGTGTAACCACTAAGTACATACCTATGTGTCTGCCAGGTTTCTGAAGTTCTGATAGAAGATTCTGGCAATGTGAAAGGGGTGGGTTTTCTTCTAAATATTTCTCTATGAAGTGAGAACCTGAATCAAAACTCATTGGACAATATGGGCATGGTTGACAAAAATCAGGTTTTGCTTGCTGATGGTACACGGGTGGATGCATCAGTTGTCTTGTCCAATGCTACTCCTTATAGAACTTTCATGGTATAAGGCTTTGAGCCCCAATGTATTCTTCAAAAGTAAAATCTTTATGTGTCTAATTCTTTGTTGATTTGTTTTTAGAGCAATTTTCTGCTTACTTTTCTTTCTCTATTTTTGTGTAACAGGAGCTGGTTCCTAACAATGCTCTCCCGAATGACTTTGTCCGGGCTATTAAGCATTCAGATTACAGCTCAGTAAGCACTTTGTGTGTTTTACCTTTTCATTCGCCCAAGCAATGAGAAATATTTAAGAGAAATCATATAGATTTTTCTTACTGTATCTAGCTAAAAGCATTTTAATATCAATTGTTTCTTTTATTGGACAGGCAACGACCAAAATAAACTTGGCAGTTGATAAAATTCCGCTGTTTCGGTGCTGCAATACAGATCACTCAGGACCAGGTCCAGAGCATTTTGGCACTATACACATCGGGGCAGAGAGGTATGTTTTTTTCCTAAACCTTCATTTTTCAAGAAAATATTAATTGAATGCTGCTCTCTTATAACTTCGGTTCTCAGTATGGAAGAAATTCACTCAGCATGTCAAGATGCTGAAAACGGCATGCCATCCAGAAGGCCAGTGATCGAAATGACAATTCCATCTGCGCTGGACACGACCATTTCTCCCCCAGGTATGCAATATTGAGCCGATGGTTAGCCTCTATTATTTTGATACTAGTACAAGTTTTCACTGGATGAAGTAGATTATCATCACACGACCTAATTGGGAGAGAATCAAAGAGTATCTTCTCTTTCAAGGTTTATTTCATTTTCATGGAAGTGAAAAGCAAATTACCGGTAGGCTCAGTTCTTTAGAAGAACATAGGTCTCCAAAACTCGGTCAATCCTGTCCGACGTCTGCTAACTCTTGAGGGAGTGATAAGGTTTGATTTTGAAAACACAATTCTGGGTGAAAGCATGAAAAATAATCTCGGTTTATCTATGTTACATCTCTAATCTCATCAGCATTAGTGAAATCAAGTCACCAAGTAACTAAGCCTCAACTACGTTCCACTTCTCTGTGTAGGAAAGCATGTCATTAACTTGTTCATCCAGTACACTCCCTACAAGCCATCAGATGGCAGCTGGGAAGATCCTACGTATAGAGTGAGTTCTCTTCTGCAATGTGATTCTTGATCCTCTCCATCATTTCTACCGTACTCCATGCCAGTCAATCCAGTCCGACGTCTGCTAACTCTTTAGGGGTTGGGTGTTTAATGTCTGAATAGGAAGCATTTGCTCAAAGGTGTTTCAAACTGATCGATGAGTATGCACCCGGATTTAGCACATCCATCATCGGCTACGACATGCTGACTCCTCCGGACCTCGAAAGGGAAATTGGTTTGACAGGTAAAAAATAATCACCGTGGAAATATATCTTAACCATGCCCAAATCCAAAGGCCAAAATTCCAATTCAGATTTTGGTCCTGATGAAGAAGAATGGTAGGAGATGTAGAAATGACAAGTTTACAATTGAAATCACGCAGGAGGAAACATCTTTCACGGTGCCATGGGATTGGACAGCCTCTTCCTAATGCGACCGGTGAAAGGATGGTGTGATGCTATGCTTCTATATTCAGATCACTATGAATAACATTATATACCATTTAAATCCTGATCGAACTTTGCCAATAAATTACAAAATGTGGAAACAGGTCAAATTACGAGACTCCTTTAAAGGGGTTGTACTTGTGTGGAAGTGGGGCTCATCCCGGGGGTGGTGTTATGGGGGCGCCTGGGAGAAACGCTGCACATGTCGTTCTTCAAGACTTGAAGAAAATAGTGGCCCAACAGTAATGCCACTCTTGCGGAATGTTATATCGACCGTTGTATTTCTTTGCCCACATTTACGAGTTGTAACCCTCTGGGTGGTTCAGATACTCCCCTTTGAGAACCTCTGAACTATTCAGAAGCTCAACGGCATCCCTTAAGAAATTATCAAACCAATAATAAGATGCCACGTGTTACCCAATTGGATGCCCTAAACCAGCGAAAGGGGAAAGTTAAAAGCCAGCGAAAGCCGGAAAGGAAGGATCGGTCGAAACAATGCTTACTGTTTCTCAGCGAGACGACGATGGGGAAGACGACTTAGATCCGACCAAGATGCTCTTACTAGAAGAGAACGGAGTCAATGGCGGGAGTTCTTCCCCCGTGCGCGACGGAGCACCGGAGCATCAGCTGCACCAGCAGCACTACATCCGCTCGATCGAGTCAACGGTCGTGATTCGCCAGCTCCCGTCGCAGGGCCTCTCCTTCCAGCTATGGCCGGCGGCAACCACGCTCGTCACGCTGCTCGATAACCCCCGCCGTGACCCTAGCCAAAGCCCTCTCACCGAAACGCTCAAGGCGTTGTCCTCCAACGGCGCAGAATCTTCCACGTTGAACATCCTCGAGCTCGGATCTGGCACCGGAATCGTCGGAATCGCGGCGGCCGCCACGCTTTCTGCTGATGTCACGATGACGGATCTCCCCCACGTCATCGAGAATCTCTCGTTCAATGCCGACGCTAACTCCGACATGGTGGCTAGATTCGGAGGGCGTGTCCATGTGGCGCCGCTGCGGTGGGGGGAGGCCGGTGACGTGGAGCTAATTGGCCGGAGATTTGACCTAATCCTTGCGTCGGACGTTGTATACCACGACCATCTTTACGATCCTCTGCTCGAAACGCTGCGTTTGTTGCTGCTGGGAAGCGAAAAGAGAATGTTGGTGATGGCTCACCTCAGGAGATGGAAGAAGGAGTCCGTCTTCTTCAAGAAAGCTCGGAAGCTCTTCGATGTCGACGTTATACACTCCGACGACCCTCTCGAGGGTTCCCGAATTGGCGTTGTAGTTTACCGGTTCGCCCGGAAACGCCGGAAACAGAACTCCGGTTTATGAAAACACTTCCCCTGAGGCTTTTTTTTTTTTGCAGTTTTTCCTCAGAATATGTCAAGTGTATGATGAAATCCACATGAAAACGATTGGTTCAATCTTGTTCAGTGGTTCAATCTTTGTGAAGATGCTTCATCAAATATATGTATGGGCTAAAAGATTCTTCTCGGCGGATTCAAGAAGGAAACTGAAACTGAAACTGAAGAGTGCAAGTATGTCCATAAATTGGCTTTAAAGCAGGAAACAACCAAAGCTGACACTTGTGTCCAATGACTCGCAATCTAAAGCCCTGATGACAACTTAGTAAACCAAGAGGAGAAAATGAAATCAGTAAAACCAGGAAGAACCGGCTCGCTTATATTAAACCGTAACCAGCTTGATGAATCAGAGGCTCTGAAACTCAGGAAGTAAACAGAGTAACGTCTTCTGGTGTGGAGATTTTGATAGATACCTTATATCTCTCGGCCAAGGTTTACCGTGTTTAACACGTGATGAGATTACCGGGCTGCTCTGTTTCCACGTAATCATCCCTGATCGAGACGGTGTCGATATTTGGGCTTAGAAATATCGTCACGTGTTAAACCTAGGACGAGGCATAGGGTATCCCCACAAGCCAACCAGAAGTCAGGATCCTCCGAAGTAGACCAATAAAAGAAGAGCACACCTCATCTCCCTCCTCCTTTTTATACTCTTGTCTGTCCCCGACTTCTGTCAACACGAACAGAAGGAGTTATCGCCATGGCAGCTTCTCTCCAAGCTACTGCAGCTTTCCTCTCCGCCGCTCCTTCCCGCTGCGTTCGTCTACGGTCGTCACCTTCTGTCGCCAAGGCCTTCGGCCTTGGATCTTCCTCTGCCCGTCTCACCTGCTCTCTCCACTCTGATCTCAGTGACTTCGCCAGAAAATGCTCTGACGCCGCCAAGATCGCCGGCTTCGCTCTCGCCACCTCTGCTCTCGTCGTCTCGGTACGACATCTCGTTATACATATATATATTTGAAGCCCTTTGGTCATAATATCACAAGTAAAGCTGACAGATTCTCTGGAGCAGTTATAATTCTTCACTTTCACGTGTCATATACGTACTTGCATGTTCTAACGCCGCATGCATTTGATCTGAGATAGAAATGCGCTTTTTGTAGGGAGCGAATGCGGAGGGAGTGCCGAAGAGGCTGACGTTCGACGAGACGTGCATGGAGGTTAAGGGCATTACTACTACTGGAACTGCGAACGGCCACTCGGAGAAGTTCGGCTTCGAGCCGACATCCTACACCGCCGCGGCCGAGGGTGCTGTCAGCGACAATAAATTGGGAGGGTTCCACCCGATCAAAGACGTGAACGACCCGTACGTGGTGGCTGTGGCAAAGTTTGCGGTGGATGAGCACAACCGTACGAGCAAGTCCGGTCTCAAGTTCGAGAGAGTGATTAAAGGTGAGAGACAGGTGGTAGCAGGCATGAACTACAGGCTCACCTTGGCTGCCAAAGAACCCGCCGCCTCCTCCACCAACAACTACGAGGCATTCGTTTTTGTACCGCTCGGGGGTGAACCCTGGTCCCTCAAGCACTTCAAACCTCTCTACCTGACTAACTGATCCCTCACTCGAAACCATTCGCGTATATAGTTCCCACTTTCCACATATAGTATTGGCATAATGAATAAAGGAGTGGCGGCTGGCTGCAATAATTGATTATCTATTCCGATGATCTTGTACATGTTTAATTAATAAAATATGATGACGTGGATTTCATGTACTTCTTCTGGTGCTTTTATTGCGTTGCACAAGCTTATGTTCTAAGGAGAATGCTATTCTCGAATCGCGATTACCAACACAGTCGGGATCAATGAATTTTGTTTATGAATATTAAACATTAAAAAAATATTTGTTGAGCCCAAGTTCCATTGCATATTTGTAATAAAAAAAGGCCCAAAGCATACATTAGATTAGATTAGACGTTGTCCCGAGCCGACAACTCTTTAGATACAGTATTGATCACGTGTCAAACATTTTATTTTGGTATTTTTTGCATTCTTTTTAGCCCCACTTTATCCGTCAAAATTAGTGGTGGTGGGTGTTTCCCGTTGGATTCTTCAAAATCAAACCGTAGAATAAAAAATTTCAATATTTTTTTACCGAACATATTATTTAAAAATTTCGGACGATCAAATTTTTCATTATCGAACCAAACTTTATAAAATTTTCGAAAAATAAAAAATTTCTTAAAAAATATATTTGTTTAATAAAACCGAAACCGAACTTAATAAACCGTTCTCGAATATAACCATTAAAATTTCGAACCAAATATGGAAACCTTGACGGGTTAAAATGTCAGAAATTTTAGTGGTGAATATGTAATTAATTTTTTTTAGATTAAAAACATAAGCCAACAGACTCCGCCCCAAGATAATCTAATAAGATAATTTGGGCCCGCTTAAGATAAGCCTACAGACTCTCCGGCCCAAATTTAAATCAAATTGACGCCGCCTAAAACCCTAGCCCTAGTTCCGATCTTCTATAAAAATGGCCGCCCTCAACTGGTTTCGCAGCTCTAAGTAAAACCCTAATCGGGGGCCTCAGGCGATGGTAATTCTCTTTGCGGTACGATGTATTTCTTCTAGCTACGTTTTTTTGGGGAAGTGAACTCTGGTCTCTTCCTCACTCCGGTTTGTTTTTTTTCAGTCGAATTCTCTGGAAGGGATGGATTTCCAACGTGTTTTGAGTTGCGTTTCCTTTCTTTTCTTTTTTTGTTGATACGTGTTTTTTTCTCAAGCTTTGAGCTCTAAAAAAAATGGTGAAAGGGTTTCTCTGTGATGATCAAACAAATAGATGACGAGTCCGATCAATCCATTCTTACAATCATGAGGGCGAAAGGGGAAAGTTAAAAGCCAGCGAAAGCCGGAAAGGAAGGATCGGTCGAAACAATGCTTACTGTTTCTCAGCGAGACGACGATGGGGAAGACGACTTAGATCCGACCAAGATGCTCTTACTAGAAGAGAACGGAGTCAATGGCGGGAGTTCTTCCCCCGTGCGCGACGGAGCACCGGAGCATCAGCTGCACCAGCAGCACTACATCCGCTCGATCGAGTCAACGGTCGTGATTCGCCAGCTCCCGTCGCAGGGCCTCTCCTTCCAGCTATGGCCGGCGGCAACCACGCTCGTCACGCTGCTCGATAACCACCGCCGTGACCCTAGCCAAAGCCCTCTCACCGAAACGCTCAAGGCGTTGTCCTCCAACGGTGCAGAATCTTCCACGTTGAACATCCTCGAGCTCGGATCTGGCACCGGAATCGTCGGAATCGCGGCGGCCGCCACGCTTTCTGCTGATGTCACGATGACGGATCTCCCCCACGTCATCGAGAGGTGGGTCCATGTGGCGCCGCTGCGGTGGGGGGAGGCCGGTGACGTGGAGCTAATTGGCCGGAGATTTGACCTAATCCTTGCGTCGGACGTTGTATACCACGACCATCTTTACGATCCTCTGCTCGAAACGCTGCGTTTGTTGCTGCTGGGAAGCGAAAAGAGAATGTTGGTGATGGCTCACCTCAGGAGATGGAAGAAGGAGTCCGTCTTCTTCAAGAAAGCTCGGAAGCTCTTCGATGTCGACGTTATACACTCCGACGACCCTCTCGAGGGTTCCCGAATTGGCGTTGTAGTTTACCGGTTCGCCCGGAAACGCCGGAAACAGAACTCCGGTTTATGAAAACACTTCCCCTGAGGCTTTTTTTTTTTTTTGCAGTTTTTCCTCAGAATATGTCAAGTGTATGATGAAATCCACATGAAAACGATTAACAACTCGAATGATTAAGTTTTGCTCGATGGACGAAAAATTAATGTGTAAATTTGGCCCGACGCTCTAACCAACTGAGCTAATGGGCCTTACTGTGAGAGTTAATTGCAATATATTTTTTTATTTCAAAGCCTTCACGGCCAAATTTACACATTAATTTTTCGTCCATCGAGCAAAACTTAATCATTCGAGTTGTTAATCGTTTTCATGTGGATTTCATCATACACTTGACATATTCTGAGGAAAAACTGCAAAAAAAAAAAGCCCCCGGGGAAGGTGCACCTTATCTGATTTGTACTCTTTGTCTCTCCCGATTTTTGTCAACACAAGTCAGTAGGAGTCATCGCCATGGCTGCTTCGCTCCATTCTGCCGCTACTTTCCTCCAGCCGACGAAGATTTCCGCCGCTACTTCTCGCTATGGCCATCTACGGTCATCGCCTTCCGTCGCGAAGACCTTCGGCCTTGAATCTTCCTCTGCTCGTCTCACTTGCTCTATACAGTCCGATCTCAGGGACTTCGCCGGAAAATGCACTGACGCCGCCAAGATCGCGGGCTTCGCTCTCGCCACCTCTGCTCTCGTCTCCTCGGTAAAGTGATCTCCCTTTTCCATGTGTATCTTTAGCCCATTTTGTCACAATTTCACTAGAAAAGCAGAGAGAGATTTGCTCTTATCTGTTACAACACTGCATTTTTTTAGTTGTGTACCTGTTAGAATCTGGACTTTCATATGGTCACCTAAGATCCTAGAGGATTTACCAAACACGATTTTGATCGGCTGAAATGAGTTTTTTTTAGGGAGCAAATGCGGAGGGAGTGCCGAAGAGGCTGACGTTCGACGAGATACAGAGCAAGACGTATATGGAGGTTAAGGGGACTGGAACTGCGAACCAGTGCCCGACCATCGACGGTGGCTCCGACGAGTTCGCGTTCAAGCCTGGAAAATATTCTGGCAAGAAGTTCTGCTTCGAGCCGACATCCTTCACCGTCAAGGCCGAGGGTGTCAGCAAGAACGCACCTCCCGAGTTTCAGAACACCAAGCTAATGACCCGCCTCACCTACACCCTTGATGAGATCGAAGGACCTTTCGAGGTACCATTTCCCTATTTCCTTTTCTAAATTCCGACCATATTCTAATAGAATCTACCATCAGGTCTCTTCAGACGGAACCGTCAAGTTCGAAGAAAAAGACGGCATAGACTACGCAGCTGTCACGGTCCAGCTTCCGGGCGGGGAGAGAGTGCCGTTCCTGTTCACAGTCAAACAGCTCGACGCCTCAGGAAAACCCAACAGCTTTGGCGGGAAATTCTTGGTGCCCTCGTACCGTGGCTCGTCCTTCTTGGACCCAAAGGGCCGTGGTGGCTCAACCGGTTATGACAACGCGGTCGCCTTACCAGCCGGAGGCAGAGGGGACGAGGAAGAGCTGACAAAGGAGAACATCAAGAACGCGGCTTCGTCCACCGGAGAGATCACTCTGAAGGTGACAAAGAGCAAACCTGAGACGGGAGAGTTGATCGGAGTTTTCGAGAGCATTCAGCCTTCGGACACTGACTTGGGTGCTAAGGTACCAAAGGATGTTAAGATCCAAGGGATTTGGTACGGTCAACTTGAGTGATGTTCCCACAATTACTTAGTCTCTGTATTTGGAACGAACCTCTTTGAAGATTCCTGTTAACGATCTTATAATCGTCTTGACGCTCTCATATTTTTCCGGTCATATGATCTTTATAATTCCCTAAAGTTGCAACCTTTTGAGCAATTCATATCAATTCAAACCATTTTTTCTATACGAATTCAAATATAAATATAAATAAACTCACCAATTTGCAATATTTCAAGAGTTCAAACAAGAAATGATATAAAATGACGTACAAACCAATATTGATGTATAGTCTCATAAGTTGAAAATCAGACCAAACCAATTGATTCACGCAAAATAATGTAAACAATTTCAGTGATAAGACATTGCTTATGCATTATTAAAGATAAATATTTGATTGGACTGTTTAATATTATGGTCTAATGATTTGTTTCCAGCAAAGCGAGAGAATAAAAGGGTAAACAAATCCACTTGGCGTCACAGTTACGACCTTTGCCTTTCTTTTCCTCGTGTCCCTTCATTGTGCTTCCCCTTTTTCTCTCTGTTTCTCGCGGAAAAAAGAGAGATTCCCAGAAAATGCGTTGATTTCTTCTTCTCCGTCCTCGGATGATGAAGAGAAATTGGCCGGAAATCGGATGGAGAATGTGCCGGGATCGTTCGGCACGAGCGCCAGCTTCGCTCTTCGCTTCGGTCAAATCGTTTTCTCTTCCGCTTCGCTTCTCTTCATGTGCTTCGACTATGGATTCTACGACTACACTGCCTTCTGGTAAATCTCCCAATTTTCAGGAAATTCCGTTTCTTTCCCGGATGAGTAAAAACCCTAGCGGTCGTATAAAAGTTGGGTGGGTTCACGATTTAGTTGTGCGATGACTTTGGGTTTGAGTAAACTGGTTGTGGAATTATCTCCGGTGCCGGTAGATTACCAGTTCGAGGTGATGAACGAATGAATTGTAAGGAAAAGGAAGAAAAATATTGTAAGGGGGTTGTCATGATTTGTGTAATCGAATCGGATTGTAGGAGTCTAATGCTTGATCAGACTTTCAGAATTGATTTCGGTCTCCGTTTGTGGCTTGATCAGAGTTCTTGATGACTGGTTAATCAAAATTCGCTCGTGCGAGCTTTCAATTTTTGGGTTTTTAGAGTTCATTGGTTTAGAACTATTTGCTTGGCAGATGGATTCCATATGAATCAAACCAAATAGATTGGGGTTGCCATCCATAAATTTAATCAGAAAGGATTTCACCGTTGTGAGAAATGATAAAGCAGGATTTTCAAATGTCAAGTATGAAAATCTCTTAAGGACCTTTAGTTGGTTCCATACGATACATGCTGCGTTTTTTTTGGTTATAGATTCATCAAATTACACTGCTTTCAGCTATTTGGTGACTGTAATGGGACTGGTGACTCCATGGAGTATGACACTGGCACTCTTTGACGCCTACTCTGTACTTGTGAAACGCCTTCCTCCACAAGCAAGAGTGCTGTCCATTGTTGTTTCTGGAGATTTTGTAAGTAAAAGAACACATCCATCGAATACCCATAATAGAGTTCAGTCTCTTCTTCCTCCTAACCCGGAAAAGATTCTATCTTTATGGTTACAGGTTCTGTCCTTTCTCTCCCTAGGCGGTGCCTGTGCCGTGGCCAGCGTCACAGAACTATTGCTTGAAGCTGGCGGGCCGTTCTGCCGCAAGAAGCTCTGCAGCAGATACCAACTCTCGGCCGCAATGGCCTTCTTGTCGTGGTTTTTGTCATTCGTTTCGACCATTTTCAATCTCTGGATTCTACCTTCAGCATATTCTTGACTGGAAAAGAGAGAGAGTATATAGTATATACGTGCAGGATGAATCAAAGGCGGCGGGGGCAGGCGGGGGCGGAATAAGAGATTGTGTTGAAAGCTGCTAGGGATACGTGGGAAGTGTGGAAGGTTGAGACTCGGGAAAGGATCCACAGAAGTCAGTAGATCACACTTTTGTTTCTTTGTATTATAAAATAAATTGTTTTAAGAAAAAACAAATAATCAACACACAAGATGTATGAATTAATTGGATTGAAATGTAAAGGTCCCAAAAAAAAGGGCGAATACCTGATTTCTTTCTTGGACGGATGTTTTCTGTGATTTCTGCAGCAGCCGAAAATGGGAAAAGGGAATATTATTCTTTTGTCGGGAATCAACTGAAAGGGAAAGTTGTGTTGGTTTCGGAATGCTATTTTGCGATGATGTGGTTCCCAAATTCCCGGTAAAGAAAGCCAAACCGGTAGTCCGGAATTATTCACTGTTCTAATACATGGTCTTTCAAATCATCTGGACTTATGCGAGTGACGCGGACGCCGGAAAAAAAAATCTATACAACATGTTTTGATAAAAAAAAAAATTGGGAGTTCATTAATATACCAAAAGGTGGTAAACAAAGATATTGAATGTATACAAGAAAAGTGGAAGGCGGATCTATCATGCATGGGCTGTTAAATAAAAAAAAAAAAAAAAAAAAAAAAAAACAGGACGAAGGTGTCTGAATGCCGGCATTCATCTTCTCCAAGCTTCCGCCATTAAGATGTAAACCATTCACATGATAATCTCCAAACTAAACAGCAAAGGCATTTTAAAAAAAGCAGCAGTAAGTAACCTGCAGTTAAATCCCAATGCACAAAAATAACTGATAACAATTTATAGAAAAAAAGCATTACTATTACCATGTAATTTTGTCCTCCTCTGATGAATTAACCTGCAGGATTCTCTGCAAAGAAACCGTCCTCGCTCTCCTCGTGTCCTCTGAAACCTTACTCACGTTTCGATCTAACTCTTCGGTCATTCCCTGAAACGTTTCCCACTCTCTCATCATCTCCCCCATCTCTTCTTCCTCTCTAAGAACAGCTTCAGCCTTCTTCAACAGAATCTCCATCTCAGCTCTCCACTTTTCTACGATGATCTTTACATTGTCCATATCTCTCAGCATGACGTAAGCCCCAGTTCTCACCGAGACAACAAGACTCTCTCTCACCCTTCGAATTCTTTTCTCCTCTTGCTTGCAATAGTAATTCGTCCATTTTCCCATAGATCCTATCGTAGCCAACAACGCGCTAGCAAGAATCTCCACAGGAGACGGCACGTTTACAGCTAATGATACGCCTGTCAAGACCAAGACCGAGAAGTATCCTATTGCAAACAGCACAGTCGACAGCTTACTCCATGTCTCGATCCTCTTGAGTTTTCTGTCGATTCCGCGTGTTTGGTTATTCGATTCGACAATCAAAGACTCGAGTCTGTGATGGGTCGCGTCGAACATGTCCGAAACATGTTGAGGGAAAGGATTGTCCTCAGTCCGGAGTTTCGTCAGCTCCTCCTTTGCTCTCGTCATCAGGATCTTGTTCTGATCGCCATCTTCAACAGCTTCTCGCAAATGGAGATGAATGGTGAATTGACCATCTCTCGCGTATTTGATGCAACGCTCCAAGGTTGAACAGAGATCCAGATTCCTGAGGCTGGCGTCCATATACGCTTTCATCAGAGGCATGAAGCTTTCGCTTTTGAACTCTTCTTGTTTCACTTCGAGGATAATCTTTACAACCTCGTTGTTCAGTTCCAACATGCTTCCTGTAACTTGTCGGAGAGAATCGAAGGACAAAGATCTCTCTCCAGCCATTTCGGACCCAAAGGGCTGGGCGAAGCTTTTTTTTTCCCACTACCCTCCAAGTGAAATCTGCAAAAATTATAGTATTGGAAGATCTGATGACCCTTTGATTTCCAATTCAAATCACTGGAAACAACGGAAATGCTCTGTATGATGACGATTACAGACGAACACAAGAAATAGGAAGATGGAAAATCAGGATTGAAATCGACAATTATTGGTCGGAGTGAGTACCTGCGTTTGTTAGATCTTAAAGAGCACAGTATATGGAAAGTTCATCCCTTTCTTTGACTGAAATTAGGTCAAATGCTCTGTCGGAGGAGAAAAGAAAACTAAGGATGAGGAAGTGGAGCAGCAACCCATCCTTGTAGAGAAACATTAAACAAAGACCCACAAGTCTTTCTTTACTTCATAAAATAAAGGGAAAATGGCAAAAACCCACACATATTATATCAAAGACGTAAAATTAGTATATTAATTTTTAATTTGATAAAATCCCACACTCGATTTCAAATTTTTCCGATTTTTAATACAAATTGTTTTGAAAATTTTCAATTACCACCATAAAGGGAATTGACCGTGCCAGGTTAGGGTCTGATGGCTGATGTGTCACCACCCATCGAAAAATATGCCATGTCACATGACATGTAATTTGACATGTCAGCAATTCGGATTATTGAAATCGGTTGATTTAATCAAGCAGGTTAATTTGATAGGCTTTTGTCCGTATTTTCTCCAGGAGTAATCGTCCGGTGGAATGTCGGACATCTTCGCGCTGATTGGCGGAACCCTAACCACTCTCTTCTGTTTCAACTTTCTGGCAAAGGACAAGACGAGGAAAGAAGAATAACTGATGGGAACCTTTCTTTATTTATTAATAAAAGTAAAAAACCCATGAATTTTAATCCAAAAGGGGAGAGATTTATTGGTTGTTTTGTAACTCTTCTTGGAGCAATGGCAACGACCGGGGGAAGCGGAAGCGCATTTTCCGGCGACAAGATTCTCGGAGCTGCATTTCCTCTTCGTAGAGACCGACGAAAACAAAGGCTTGAACGAGGAAGAAGAGAAATCAATCGTTTTGGCCGACAAAAACAAATCTTTCTTTTCGTACAGAGACTCCGACAAGATCTCCGGCGGCGGCGGAGCGTGAAACAACACCAATTTAGACTCCGGTTTTTGAACGGGCGAGCGTCTGAAATGGGCGTGACCAGTTCGGGTCTGACCCAGGAGAGAGATGACTCTCTTGAAATTGGAAACGCGACATCGGCTGTCGTTTTGCAGGCGGCATCGAGATCAGAAGAAGAGGAGGGTTGACTGGAATCGATATTCTCCGGCGACATGAGACAGATCAGCTTCTCGATGCTCTTGAGGCCAGACGCCGCCGCTTCCGGGAGAGGATAGGTTTTGAATGTGATTCTGATTAATCCCAATTTTTTTTAAAAAATCGGTTTTTACTTAACCGGTTTGATTAAATGAACCGATTTCAATAACCCGAATCGCTGATGTGTCAGATTACGTACCATCTGACGTGGCATATTTTTCGATGAGTGGGACACATCAACCATCGCACGCTGACGTGTCATGGTCAATTCCTTTATGTTGGTAATTGGAAATTTTCAAAAGAATCTGTGTTGGAAATCGGAAAAATTTGAAATGAGCGTGAGACTTTATCAAATTAAAAATTCATGTACTAATTTTACACATTTGATATAATCTGTGTGGGTTTTTGCCATTTTTCCTAAAATAAAATGATCTAAAGCTCATCAACATTCACAACTCTTTTTTTTTTTTTTTGTAAATCAATTTCTAGCTAGATGGTTGGATAGAAGAGTTTTCTGGCAAAAGGGTGGTTGGCATCGTTTGAGCATGTTTGGCTTTTCTTGAAATTGTTGTCTAAGTCAAGACATGGAACCTGCAGTCTTTTAGAGAAATCTAAATTCAGACAATGGGTTCCTGAGATGCCAGATCTGATCAAATATCATGTCAACTTGAATTTCTCTCCATATTTTTTTTTTTGGTAACCGGGTGTCCTGACCGAGTCCTAGAGCCGGGAGCTAGTTATATGATTAGAATATGTGTTCTCTTCCCCAACTTGATACTCGAACTCGGGAGGGACAGGACAAACGCTTTGCGTCTCCATTTCAACGGTTGAACTATACAAGTTGGGTGAATTTCTCTCCATGTTGTGTTGAAGAAGCAAGCATTTCTTTAATTTGGCATTTATTTCCATTTAAGAATCATCACACACAATACACTTTTTTACAGCACTGCTTACACAGCTGAATGCCAACAAAAACTGGCAAAAACTACTGACATGTCATATAAGCACCGGTAACCTCTCTGGCAAGAACATTTTGACAAACGTTCACAATGTCACCTCCTCAATCCTGGCCAAAAGGAAAACAAAAAGTGAGCCAAAAAGATTCAAACTTTGAATCAGACCCGAAATCAAACAACGAAAACTCGGTAAGAATCAAAAGTTATACCAGTTCCCTTGTTCCGAGCTTGAACCGGCAGAGAAGCTGAGGATGTGCCTAAGGACTACCGTTCTCGCCAATGTAATATCTTTGCTACACTTTGCTGCATTTTCGCCCACTTCCTCGATTTTCTCCGTGAACACATCTAGCTTCCGGCTGATCTCGTGAATCGCAAGCCTTACAGCCACATCTTCTTCTTCCTTGAGTGCAAAGTCAACCTTATGCAGCATTGACTCGATCTCAATCTTCAGCTTGTCTACTAATACCCCTATGTTCTCCATGTCCTTCATGGCAACATAGGCACCTATCTTCATCGAAAGAACAATACCCTTCTGCCCTTTAACAGCAGTATCATACTTCTTCCACAGATAGTTACACAACTTCCCCACCGAGCCGATGGGAACAGCCATTGCAGCCGCCACCGCGGTCACAACGGGCGGTGCAGCAACTGCAGCTGCAACTATGGAGAAGATCAGGACAGAGACGAACGCTGTCATAAAAACCACGTTCGACACTTTTCTCCATGTTTTTATGTTCTTCATTTTCTTGTCAAGCTTCATCTTTTGCTTATGAAGTTCCTCAAGCAGCAAAACTTGCTGTTCATAGACAGATTCGAACAAGGCGAAGAAATCTTCATCGAAGGGATCACTCGCAGCCTTAAACTTGTTGAGCTCTTCCAATGTTTTGGGGTACTTGTTGTTGTTCCCCTTATCCACATCTTGTGACTCTATCTCATACTGTTTCACGGCAAACCGGATAATCAATTGGCTAATCCTCGCTCTTCTGACGCAATTCTCCACAGCGTTGCAGAAATCTAAGGTCTTGATGGTACTGTCAAAGTAAGCATTAACCAAAGATGTCAAATCTTTGTTATCCCACACGTCTTCTCTGCTCTCAACGATGAACCTCACGACCTCATGGTTCATTTCAAGAAGACATCCGGAGACTTCTACGAGCGAGTCAAAGGAGAAAGGCTGAGTTCCGGCCCGTGAGGCGATTGAGCTAATGACTCGGTTGGTGCGTCGGTGAAGCGATGAGTCGAAGGATCTCAAGTCGGGGTCTTCTCTACACGCTGACTCGTAATAGCTCAGATCCGCTGAGTAAATGGAGCCCACGTTGGTTCGGATCGGTTTGATGGGTGAACTGGTGGTTCTGTTACTGCTATAAGTGGACTTGCTGTCTTCCATAGTCTTGGCTTTGGAGGAGAATCCAAGGAACATGGACCGAGACAGACAATTCCCAAGGACTGATCTTTATGGTTACAAACGATGATTGGGGAAAACCCAGAAATTGCAGAAGAAATCCACGACTTGGGTTATGGAATTACGTTTGATCTGAGCAAATCTGACCCTAAGACAGCCGGGGGAAAAAAAATGGGGAAGACCAAAATTTAGGACAAAAGGATTTTTACACAGCTCAGACAACAAGTGAAAGTGATTCGAAGAGAAACGAGAGCAAAGTACCTGGACTGAGATCAGAATCCGGCAAGATATGAAATGTTTCGTACTGGTGAAGTGGAAGACGGGAGGAAAAGGAGAAGGGAGACTTTTCGAAATGCAGAAGAAGGGAAGCAGCGTTGACCTGTTCCAAATGCGAATCAAGCCCAAACGCAAGGACATCGGATATTGGGTTTTTTTTTTTTTGGTGTGTGATTGGGAAAGTTGCTTAAAATTTATATTTCAGTCATTTTTAAATCTAAGACAATATAGATATTTACGTTCCACTAATGGGTTTTTTTTGCACGTTCCATTTTTCATTTTTTTTTTACCTTATAATATATACATATGGATGAATAAAATATCTGTAGACTATTTTAAAAGATAATTTCCGTGAATATACGTACGGTTAAGCAATCTGAGCAGACAGTGACACTATGACATTTAATCAATGAAAAATTTGTTAAATGCATGATCGTATGAACGCCAACCAACAGGAGATAAGACGATTGTCTTGCAAATATCTGCTCACCATGAGTCAGTCACGACCGCGAAAGGAAAATCACGTGACGTCTCTGCTTACGTAATCAAGAAGGAAAAAAAACAGAGATTATACGGTAAAAGCGCAAAATCATAATACAATAATGGGCCTAGAAAATACAGTTGGGCTTCAACGTTTGATAAGCCAATGATGTAATTGGGTCCAAATAAAAAAAGAATGGGTCGACATATAAATTAACTTAAACTGTCACACAGCCCAAAGCTTTATAAAAACCACTCATTCCTAGTAGTCCGAATATCTAGACGTCCAGCCCAAATATTGAACCTCACGATTCCTTAAAATTTACGATAAACCCATCCCAGAAATAAACCAAAAAAAAAAAGTGTGGGCCCAACAGTCACGTGCTTCAAAAATGCTCGAGGCCCCTGGGCTCCACTCTCCGGTAAAAAAAAAAAACAAAAAAAAAAAGAAAAGGGATATGTTCGCACGTGTAGAACCGACAGGGCCCACAGCCTCTCGGGCGCTGCATGATTCCGATGTTTGACCCGGCCCGAAGAAAGTGGGACCCACTAATAACTGGTAGCCACAAATACCGGAGCCCCAGGGCATCTTCTCGGGCTGTATTCCTCTGTCTCACAACGTACGGTGCGCGTGCTTATGTACCCGTTGGATCATGACATGCGATTCGATCGTCCGGTCTACAAGCCAAGATCGAGACAAGGCACAGGCAGATCAAATAATGCAGCTTACAAGAAGCTCTGCGACAGTAGCGATGTCATCCATTCAATGATTCACCCCGTCTTTTTACCTTTTTTTTTCCTTCGGTTTCTTCCTCACGTCGCATGTTATTCACAATGCATTTGATCCGTAAATAATCCGAATCATAGAATATAGCGGGTGATCCTAACATCACATTGAGGATCAAATTATTAAACATCATATATATATATATACACGTGTATGAAATAATCGTATCCACTGTTGATGCTCGGCTTAAGGTCTTTTTGTTTTTCTTTTCTTTTTTTAATCTTCATTCACCAGACGCGTATGATCATTTTCTATTCCACAAGGTGTGAACGAAACGTCGAAATGGGGCAATTGCAAAAATACCCTTAAATGTCGATTTCACTTACAGCCCATACCCTCGCACAGTAACAAAAAAACGGCAACATCAAATATACCCTTATAAATGTAGAATCCCTATAATACCCTTCCTTTATTTATATAATATTATAATATACTAAAATAAATAAAATATAGATCTACTTTTTACTCATTTTCTCTCTCCTCTTTATCGTTGTCTCCCGCCATACATCGCATTCTCTCTCTTCGAGTTTTTCTTCTTCTCTCTCTTGAATATCTCTTCTCCAGCGCGATTTTTTGGTAAATTTGCTGCAAGAAACAAGTGAAATCTCAAAAAACTCATCCAATAAACGTAGATGTAGTGGTATTGCCGCTTATAGTGGAAGAAAAACGAGTAAGTGGAAGGTTTAAACAAAACCGATTTTCTTTAAATAGAAAATTATATGCATTATCTGAAAAGTATAATTCTTGTGGTTTTACATAGAAACTAGGAATTAGGTATTCGTTTTTAGATAGTAATATATAAATTCCACTTTTTATTTATTTAATTTTCAAATTCATTTGTAACCTATACAGCAACGGGGAATTTTATTTTGACCAACAAAAAGCAGACGCATACATATGTTACCCTAAGTGACGTCCTCTATAACGTGTCTCTGCATGAGGATTCTACGACATGCAAACTGCACGGATTTGTCGGCGCATGCAAATTAATTTCTCCCGACTTTTAAATCTATATAAATATATAGAGAGAGGTTGATTAAATATATAGAATTAGTTTTGTTAAAAAATAAATGTAAATCGTCAATTTTATATGAATTAATTTAAATAATTTAAATACATTTCAGTGATATTAATATGCATAAATCCATATTATTAATTATATTTCATCAAAGAAATATTATTAATTATATATAAATAATATTCTTTTTTTTTGTCAAAGGTTGGTATTTCATTTATTATCGAAATTATACATATCGCTTTATATTTGTTAATAATCTATATCCGTATAACCGAATAAAATTTATACTTTTTTTTATTGGGATATCAGAAAATTCTCGCTTTTGTCGTATTCAAACAAATGAAATTTTCGTAATATACTTTAATCTACAAATTTACGGGGGTTGTTATGTGCGCGGACCAATTAAAAGGAAACGTGGACCGAGATTAAGAATTCGAGGAATTATGCTCATTTTAATAACATTTTAGTATGTTCCTCGAGGAGCATGCAATGCGTAGGTAGGTCATATACGTAACGTTCGTCCAAACTCTTCTGATATCGAATTCAGCGCCTTACATCAATGGAAAACAGAAGTATGCAGTGAACGGTGTATCCTTTGTGGCTCCTGACACGCCATTGAAGCTCGCTGATTACTTCAAAATCTCTGGAGTTTTCAACCTCGGAAGCATCCCAACAAGTCCCTCTGGAGGAAATAATGCAGGCTCTCTCCAGACATCAGTCATGGCCGCAAACTTCAGGGAGTTCATCGAGATCGTGTTCCAGAACTGGGAGAACACTGTCCAGTCTTGGCACATCGACGGTTACTCTTTCTTCGTCGTCGGGTAAAAAGACTTGATTTACATTTCTTGTTGATCAAGAAACGTTTTGATCTTATAGTTTTACAAATACTGATCCTTAAAGTTCCGGTGTTGATAGGATGGACGGAGGCCAATGGACCACAGGAAGCCGAGCGAAGTACAATCTCCATGACGCTGTTGCTCGGTCCACCGTCCAGGTAAAGAACGTTTCAGATGAGAAAGACGTGATGTATGCATGGTTATGCGTTACATGTTACGTGAAAACATGATGGATTGATTGGATTACATGATGATGATGTAGGTGTATCCGAGGGCATGGACAGCGATATACATGGCGTTGGACAACGTGGGTATGTGGAACATAAGGTCGGAGAATTGGGGAAGACAGTATTTGGGACAACAGTTCTATCTCAGGGTTTGGACTTCGTCCACTTCTTACCGGGACGAGTATCCCATCCCTAAGAACGCTCTTCTCTGCGGCCGAGCCAGTGGCCGACACACCCGCCCCTTCTAACCCTTCACGCCACGTGTCATTTTTACATGATATTCCATTGTTAGTCGTTACCGTTGATGAGGAAGATGACAACATTTTCTGTAATCTGAGAGAGCTCCTCTCGAGCTTTGTTTCAGTTTGTAATTTTATGAAATGAAATTTCTTGGCTTCTTTAATTTTCTTACAAAGAAATGGAATCTTTAGCGTACAAATACTTACGGCCCATCTCAATTGGGTTTTGGGCCTTTTGTTACGGCCTAATTGGGCCGTTGGCATCGGATACTTAGTCATTCGATTGTTTTCAATATATAACAAAAAAAAATTCAAATTTTTTAATATTCTTTTTTAATATGTTGATTTTTTATTTTTTATTTCCTAATGAGTCAAACGTAATTGTACTCCATACAGAGTAAGTAGTAAACGGACTTTGTATTAATTATATATTAAACAAATTTGAATGGGAATGCAATTAATGACCATGAGACAACCGTAAGAGGAATCTAATTAATTATTATACATGTTTTTAATGTCATTTAAAGAAACATTTTTGACTTTTTACCAAAAAGAATAAACAAATTAATTAATGAACACCGGTCTTGCCCATCTCAAAGCCGCTGAATAATACTCTTTTTTTTCCTAGTGAATTAAAACGTAATCCAAGATATTCAATTGAATTAAAAATAAATTTCGTAACGGAATTAATAATAGGATAAGAAAATTCTTTTATGTACGAATGGTTCAACTGAACTAGGGAACCAAGTGGGGGCCATTAAATAGCTCCAGATTCTGTACATCGTTTATGACGACGATTATATAATTTTTGGCCCTTCACAATATATAAGAAGTATAATAGATATTTAATATCTTAATTTGGAAAAAGTTATATGGATATATATAGCTATTCGGAAAATCATTAAAAAAAATTCAAAGAAACTATCAAGAGATGAACATGGTTTTTTGAATTAATATGTTAAATAGAAAATTATATGCATTATCTGAAAAGTATAATTCTTGTGGTTTTACATAGAAACTAGGAATTAGGTATTCGTTTTTAGATAGTAATATATAAATTCCACTTTTTATTTATTTAATTTTCAAATTCATTTGTAACCTATACAGCAACGGGGAATTTTATTTTGACCAACAAAAAGCAGACGCATACATATGTTACCCTAAGTGACGTCCTCTATAACGTGTCTCTGCATGAGGATTCTACGACATGCAAACTGCACGGATTTGTCGGCGCATGCAAATTAATTTCTCCCGACTTTTAAATCTATATAAATATATAGAGAGAGGTTGATTAAATATATAGAATTAGTTTTGTTAAAAAATAAATGTAAATCGTCAATTTTATATGAATTAATTTAAATAATTTAAATACATTTCAGTGATATTAATATGCATAAATCCATATTATTAATTATATTTCATCAAAGAAATATTATTAATTATATATAAATAATATTCTTTTTTTTTGTCAAAGGTTGGTATTTCATTTATTATCGAAATTATACATATCGCTTTATATTTGTTAATAATCTATATCCGTATAACCGAATAAAATTTATACTTTTTTTTATTGGGATATCAGAAAATTCTCGCTTTTGTCGTATTCAAACAAATGAAATTTTCGTAATATACTTTAATCTACAAATTTACGGGGGTTGTTATGTGCGCGGACCAATTAAAAGGAAACGTGGACCGAGATTAAGAATTCGAGGAATTATGCTCATTTTAATAACATTTTAGTATGTTCCTCGAGGAGCATGCAATGCGTAGGTAGGTCATATACGTAACGTTCGTCCAAACTCTTCTGATATCGAATTCAGCGCCTTACATCAATGGAAAACAGAAGTATGCAGTGAACGGTGTATCCTTTGTGGCTCCTGACACGCCATTGAAGCTCGCTGATTACTTCAAAATCTCTGGAGTTTTCAACCTCGGAAGCATCCCAACAAGTCCCTCTGGAGGAAATAATGCAGGCTCTCTCCAGACATCAGTCATGGCCGCAAACTTCAGGGAGTTCATCGAGATCGTGTTCCAGAACTGGGAGAACACTGTCCAGTCTTGGCACATCGACGGTTACTCTTTCTTCGTCGTCGGGTAAAAAGACTTGATTTACATTTCTTGTTGATCAAGAAACGTTTTGATCTTATAGTTTTACAAATACTGATCCTTAAAGTTCCGGTGTTGATAGGATGGACGGAGGCCAATGGACCACAGGAAGCCGAGCGAAGTACAATCTCCATGACGCTGTTGCTCGGTCCACCGTCCAGGTAAAGAACGTTTCAGATGAGAAAGACGTGATGTATGCATGGTTATGCGTTACATGTTACGTGAAAACATGATGGATTGATTGGATTACATGATGATGATGTAGGTGTATCCGAGGGCATGGACAGCGATATACATGGCGTTGGACAACGTGGGTATGTGGAACATAAGGTCGGAGAATTGGGGAAGACAGTATTTGGGACAACAGTTCTATCTCAGGGTTTGGACTTCGTCCACTTCTTACCGGGACGAGTATCCCATCCCTAAGAACGCTCTTCTCTGCGGCCGAGCCAGTGGCCGACACACCCGCCCCTTCTAACCCTTCACGCCACGTGTCATTTTTACATGATATTCCATTGTTAGTCGTTACCGTTGATGAGGAAGATGACAACATTTTCTGTAATCTGAGAGAGCTCCTCTCGAGCTTTGTTTCAGTTTGTAATTTTATGAAATGAAATTTCTTGGCTTCTTTAATTTTCTTACAAAGAAATGGAATCTTTAGCGTACAAATACTTACGGCCCATCTCAATTGGGTTTTGGGCCTTTTGTTACGGCCTAATTGGGCCGTTGGCATCGGATACTTAGTCATTCGATTGTTTTCAATATATAACAAAAAAAAATTCAAATTTTTTAATATTCTTTTTTAATATGTTGATTTTTTATTTTTTATTTCCTAATGAGTCAAACGTAATTGTACTCCATACAGAGTAAGTAGTAAACGGACTTTGTATTAATTATATATTAAACAAATTTGAATGGGAATGCAATTAATGACCATGAGACAACCGTAAGAGGAATCTAATTAATTATTATACATGTTTTTAATGTCATTTAAAGAAACATTTTTGACTTTTTACCAAAAAGAATAAACAAATTAATTAATGAACACCGGTCTTGCCCATCTCAAAGCCGCTGAATAATACTCTTTTTTTTCCTAGTGAATTAAAACGTAATCCAAGATATTCAATTGAATTAAAAATAAATTTCGTAACGGAATTAATAATAGGATAAGAAAATTCTTTTATGTACGAATGGTTCAACTGAACTAGGGAACCAAGTGGGGGCCATTAAATAGCTCCAGATTCTGTACATCGTTTATGACGACGATTATATAATTTTTGGCCCTTCACAATATATAAGAAGTATAATAGATATTTAATATCTTAATTTGGAAAAAGTTATATGGATATATATAGCTATTCGGAAAATCATTAAAAAAAATTCAAAGAAACTATCAAGAGATGAACATGGTTTTTTGAATTAATATGTTAAATAGAAAATTATATGCATTATCTGAAAAGTATAATTCTTGTGGTTTTACATAGAAACTAGGAATTAGGTATTCGTTTTTAGATAGTAATATATAAATTCCACTTTTTATTTATTTAATTTTCAAATTCATTTGTAACCTATACAGCAACGGGGAATTTTATTTTGACCAACAAAAAGCAGACGCATACATATGTTACCCTAAGTGACGTCCTCTATAACGTGTCTCTGCATGAGGATTCTACGACATGCAAACTGCACGGATTTGTCGGCGCATGCAAATTAATTTCTCCCGACTTTTAAATCTATATAAATATATAGAGAGAGGTTGATTAAATATATAGAATTAGTTTTGTTAAAAAATAAATGTAAATCGTCAATTTTATATGAATTAATTTAAATAATTTAAATACATTTCAGTGATATTAATATGCATAAATCCATATTATTAATTATATTTCATCAAAGAAATATTATTAATTATATATAAATAATATTCTTTTTTTTTGTCAAAGGTTGGTATTTCATTTATTATCGAAATTATACATATCGCTTTATATTTGTTAATAATCTATATCCGTATAACCGAATAAAATTTATACTTTTTTTTATTGGGATATCAGAAAATTCTCGCTTTTGTCGTATTCAAACAAATGAAATTTTCGTAATATACTTTAATCTACAAATTTACGGGGGTTGTTATGTGCGCGGACCAATTAAAAGGAAACGTGGACCGAGATTAAGAATTCGAGGAATTATGCTCATTTTAATAACATTTTAGTATGTTCCTCGAGGAGCATGCAATGCGTAGGTAGGTCATATACGTAACGTTCGTCCAAACTCTTCTGATATCGAATTCAGCGCCTTACATCAATGGAAAACAGAAGTATGCAGTGAACGGTGTATCCTTTGTGGCTCCTGACACGCCATTGAAGCTCGCTGATTACTTCAAAATCTCTGGAGTTTTCAACCTCGGAAGCATCCCAACAAGTCCCTCTGGAGGAAATAATGCAGGCTCTCTCCAGACATCAGTCATGGCCGCAAACTTCAGGGAGTTCATCGAGATCGTGTTCCAGAACTGGGAGAACACTGTCCAGTCTTGGCACATCGACGGTTACTCTTTCTTCGTCGTCGGGTAAAAAGACTTGATTTACATTTCTTGTTGATCAAGAAACGTTTTGATCTTATAGTTTTACAAATACTGATCCTTAAAGTTCCGGTGTTGATAGGATGGACGGAGGCCAATGGACCACAGGAAGCCGAGCGAAGTACAATCTCCATGACGCTGTTGCTCGGTCCACCGTCCAGGTAAAGAACGTTTCAGATGAGAAAGACGTGATGTATGCATGGTTATGCGTTACATGTTACGTGAAAACATGATGGATTGATTGGATTACATGATGATGATGTAGGTGTATCCGAGGGCATGGACAGCGATATACATGGCGTTGGACAACGTGGGTATGTGGAACATAAGGTCGGAGAATTGGGGAAGACAGTATTTGGGACAACAGTTCTATCTCAGGGTTTGGACTTCGTCCACTTCTTACCGGGACGAGTATCCCATCCCTAAGAACGCTCTTCTCTGCGGCCGAGCCAGTGGCCGACACACCCGCCCCTTCTAACCCTT